ATGCTACCCTTGCTACTCTAGCTATGGTTCCTAAACCTAGGTTTCCTAGGCTACTAAGTTTGCATCTTAACAGGAGGTGCAGCTGCAGTCGCAGCATGAGAGGCCAGAGGAGGAGACGCACCCGGAGGCACAGGAGCAGCAGCAAGGGGCAGGTGCCGCAACAGCAGCCGCTAGAGGAGGCAGAGGAGCAGCGAATGCAGGACCTGCCCGGCCCAGCACTTGCACGCTTGGTTTGTGGTCCTCTTAGTCGAGCTGTATCCCTAGAGCCTCGTCAGTCCTGTTACCGTGCCAACGGCCCATTTCACCTTGTTCTCCGCTCTCGTGTTCCACCTCCTTCGGCCCTTCCACAGCCTCTTGAGTCGTCCCTCATTGTGTTTCACGACCCATTGCCCAACTACCTCCGTGCCTCACGTCCTGTCGTCTCCTGTGTTCAGTCCGCATTAGTCACCCACCCGACTGTCCCCCTGTTGTATGTCTCGGCCCTTATCACTACTGTCAGTGACTTTGTGTCCTCCTACTGCCTTGACTACGCCTCTCACCTGGTGAGTGGCACTGCTCGTTCTCCGTCCACTAGGGGTGTTTTTGCCTTTCCCCTGGAGGTCCTGGAAGACAGGCAGTTCGAGCTTCGTTTCCTTGTAGCCGCTGTCCCCATCTCTGCGCCATGTTGCTTGCCCCTGAGGGGGATCCAGATGCCCTTGATATCCCGATCCCTCGCACTCACGCTGAGGCGGTATCGGGACCTTCGGCCTCGTACTAGATAGCAGCTAAGGAGGCAAAGATGGCATCTTATAGGTCCTAAGGCACCTACGTCAACGCCGTCCCACCACCTGGGGCGAACGACGTCAGTGGCATATGGCTCTACAAGGTGAAGCGGCAGCTTGGAGCACCACCGATGTTCAAGGCGCGCTACATGGCGAGAGGCTTGAGATAGCGAGAGAGGGTAGACTTCTTCCAAACCTTCACTCCCACCCCAAAGATGACCACACTTCGGGTGTTGCTGCATATTGCAGCCTAGTACGGGTACGAGTTACACTCCTTCGACTTCTCCACAACGTTCCTTCAGGGGAGCCTGCACGAGCAAATCTAGCTGCATCACCCGCCTGGCTTCACCGGCTCTTTTCCTGATGGAACCCAGTTGCAGCTGCGTCAACCAGTCCACGGCCTACGCCAGGTTCCCCGTGAGTGGCACGACACACTTCGCACGACCCTTGCATCGCTTGACTTCTTTCTGTCGTCTGCAGACCAGTCACTGTGTCAAAGTAGTAACTGGTGAATGAATGACAAAGGTTGGTACTAGACTAGTGGTAGCTGCAGCTCCCACACAAAGACCCTCAGAGGCACCTGGACTAGAAACTACACACGCACCAAGACTGGAAACATATGTCTCTACTCGTGTAGTCGGCAAAGGTCCTAGACCAGGTAGGTGAGACTCAACTGGTGCAACAGTGCCCTGGTGAAGATGCGAAGGCCAGTGCGATGTAACAACGTCAGGTTCAAAACGCTCACGGTGAAGGTTGTCGAGGCGATGGTAGCAACGGGACGCAGAGTAGTCAGGTCGTCAGCAGATAGTGCCAGCACTGGAGCCAGTCAGGATCCGGTATCCACAGGGACCGACGTCGCGCCTACTGCTGGCTGAGCCACTGCTGGGGCCGGTACTCCTAGGGCCCTGAAGACCGCACTGCCGGGAGTGCTGCAGCTGCGGTCGTAGCGGTTGACCTTGCTGCAGCAGAACTCTAGTAGACGCCATGGTAGGTGCTAGAGACGGCCGGGTGTGGTGGGGAGTGGCTAGGAGCGGTCAGGTACAGTCTGGTGCGGTGGAAAACGGCTAGTCGTGTGCGGTGAGGAGCGGCCTGATACGGTCTGGTGCGGTCTAGTGCGGTGGGAAACGGCTAGTAGCAGTCGGTAGCGGGGCCTACTGGCTGGGGGCTAGCTGGTGGGGCAGCAGTTACAGGTGGGGTAGCAAGGAATAGGTGTTGCAGCAGGTTGCGGGTGTGGTAGCGGGTGGGGCGGCTGGTTACAGGTGGGGCGGCAGGTGGGGCAGCTTGTGGGGCAACAGGTTTCAGGTGGGGCGGCAGGTTTCGGCTCGTGGGTAGTGGGTTTCAGGTGGGGCGGCGAGTTTAGCTCGTGGGGTGGCGGGTTTCAGGGGGGGCGACGGTTTTCAGCTCATGGGGAGACGGATACAGGGGACAGAGAGGCGACGCATGGGACTTGTCCTTGGAGGGAAGCAGCCAGTTACACTCACAGGCTTCTCGGACTCGTTGTGGGCCAACTTTGCTGAGACGCTGCGACCTACACAGGGGTACTGCTCCAGCCTTGGGACTGGAGCTGTTTCGAGGAGGTTGACTCGGGCGTCGTCCGTCTCCGGTTCCAGCTGTGAGGCAGAGGTGTACGCTACGGCCATGGCCACACAGGAGCTTCGTTGCCTGTCTTTCCTCCCCACCAACCTTGGTAAGGGATCTTGCTCTCCCCCAGTCTTGTTAGCTGACAACAGGTCTGCTGTTCTGTTGTGCGAGGAGCCCTGACTGGTTGGGAAGGCGAAGCACATCCAGCTTCGTTACTTCCTTATGCGAGAGTTACAGCAGCGTGGCCATGCACTCGTACGTCATGTGGACTCTGAGGCCAACACTGCAGACATCTTCACCAAGGTGTTGCCGCCTTGTGACCGCCAGCGTTTCTGCACCCTGCTAGGCCTTGTGTGCAGGCCCTCACATGCTTGCGTAGAGATGCTTTGTCTTGTACTCTTGCATCTCACTATATATCCTATGTCTTTGCGTGTGGACAGGCCTTGTGGCCCCTTGCTTACGTAGAGGTGCTTGTCATGCATGTCTTGTACTGTTGCATCTTCTTTATTTCCTATGTCCTTGCATGTGAACTAGCCTTGTGGCCTCTTGCTTGTTCTTGGACTGTGTGGTGATCTTGAGATCCACCTCGAGATTTGATGTGTTTTTGTGGACTGGTCTTGTGATCGTTGCTTGTTCTTGCTGATTGGTTCTGTGACCCTTGCTTTTAGACTGTGTATTACTCTCCACATAACTACCGTCACCTAGACTATGGGGGTGTGTCAAACTATAATTGTTATAGTTTGTGTTTGCTAGTCTAGGTGGTCTACATGTGTGGCTAGGGTTGGCTAGGGTTTATACTATATCAACCCGTGTATGCCATTGTTGAGTCACATTATTTACAAGTTGTTACTTTGACATAGATGTCCTGTGCAGTATTGGATTCTCTACTATGTTAATATCTCCTACGATGAGCAGATGAGAGCAGCGCGGGATGAGGTCAACTGTCAGTCCAAGAACTGATATGATAATACCTCGTCTCAGGCCTTTGTCTGCAGGGAAGTAAGTCGCTATAAGGGTGAGATGCAGGTTGGCACAGTGGATCTCCTTCTTGACTAATCTACATGAAGGGTGAGCTATTAGATTGTGAAAGGATAGATCTGTTTGACGGCTGAAGACGTCAACATCTCCAGCACGAGTCACAGGTGATGTAGCGGTAAAGGAGGATAGATTGAGAGTGTTCCAGTGAGGATTATCCGATATTATCCGTATGTCCAAAAGAACTATTACATCTGCTCCTTTTGTGCTGTTAATCCAACTGTTGTACACTTCTACGCTGGGGCTATGGTTGCATAGGAGTTACGCTGGCTGACCTACCTGCTGACCGACTTGGGGTGAGCGGACCTCATTCTCCTCCAGTTCTGTACGTCGACAACAAGGCCATGATTGCCTTGTGTCAGGGGCAGAGACTGGAGCACAGAACGAAGCACATTGCTCTTCGTTATTTTCTTGCTCGGGAGCTGCAGCAGCGTGGTCAGCTGCGCCTTGCTTACGTGGCCTCTCGGGCCAACACTGCTAATTACTTTACCGGGCCCTTGGGTCTGGTGATCAACATCATTTCTGCACTGCTCTAGGCCTTGTGCCTACTCTGCCTCAACTGCTGGTTGCTTTACTTTGTCTTGTACTGTAATCTATATATAAATATATACCTGCATGCTTGCTCTTGCTAGGTTGTGATCACTGTAGTGTTTGTGCTTTTATAACTCTGCATGTGAACTGGCCTTGTGGTCGCTTGCTTATATTCAGACTGCGTGGTGATCTTGAGATCCACACTGAGCTTCGGTTTGCTTTGATCTCTTGCTTGACTGGTCTTCTGACCGTTGGTTGTTCTTGCTATCTCCCACTTTGCGTATGGGAGTGTGTCAATTTTTTTATATCTATAGGCCTGTAGTGGGGTAGCTTTTACTGAGTACAACACTTTAGGGTTAGACCTGGTACTTGTACTCATCTCATGCTTCTTATTCATTCTTGCCCGGTATTTCTGACACATCGGACCGAGCCTGCCTTCAGAAAGTTGGAATTGTACACGTACGGAGTGACCTAGTAAGGAATTAGGAAAATTACTTGCATAGATTAAAATTGCGTATGGTAATCGATGATTGTTTACTCGTTTGGTAGTTTGCTTCATGCGTTTGGTAACTCCCTTCACATGTTTGATAACTAAATAAGGTCATACAGTATGTTCAAGAGAATGATAACAACAAGAAATGTTTTGTAACATTGTTATTTTGCAACATAGCTTTATCCATTTCCTCCCTATCGTCGAGGTGCTTCGCACAACTTCTCCAAGGCATCATATGCGGCCAGGTTCCACAGCGTTATCCGAACTCCTGTTACCCGCATCGCATCGCCACCTGCTTTTCAAAAGAGCGTTCTCTTCCCGCTCATCGGCTGCGTGTCTCTCTCTCATCGCTGTTGCGTGCAACCAAACCAGCATGCCCATTTCCACCAGCATTTTCAGACAACCCATGCCCATCCCATGATATCGCAGGCAAGTTCACAATCACGTCTGCTAGTTTTGTTCTTTTCTGTTTCGCGTCACCTTCCACGAGCACTATGACTGTTGACTGTGAAAGCGTTTGTGTCTGACGCCTCAAAAGGTTGTCTCAAGAACCGCGGCAACACGACGCTTGCCCGCTCCTTTGTCGGCAGGGCAAGCGCATGGAGGCGTATCCTGCTTCGCGCCACCCGCTGCATGCCCGCTTGCACTCTGAAACCACCCTTCGCGCCCCCGCGTCCAACCACCAATGGCGGCCCTTAGTTCCGACGTCTCGCTATCAGCTTCTCCGGCATTCTGTATCGCTACGGTGGTCGCGTCTACCCGGTCGGCAGAGCGGGAACCTCGCGCGGAGCCGCGGTCATTTCAGCCGGCCCATCGCTGCCGCGAGCGGCGAAGACGCGAATGGAATTGCTGCGAACGAAGCAGATAATATCGGGGATAAGGGTGCAGGGGCGAGTGCAAAGGCGGAGAGCGCGGAGCTGGCGGACATCCTGGCGCGCGTGCACGAGGAGATGGCGGAGGCCACCCGCGCCCAGGCGGACGGGCGCGCGTCGATCCTGCGGAGCATGGGGCGCGAGGGCGGCGGGGAGGGCGAGGCGGGCGAGAAGCTTCTGCTGGAGCTGCTGCAGGCGGAGGAGCAACGGCGCATGCGCGCGCCGGGGGACGCGGAGGAGGCGGAGGAGGACGCAGGGTCTTGGGAAGGAAGTGACGGCGCGCAAGGCGGAAAGGAATACAGGTGGACATGGAGAGGGGCGAAAGGGGGTTGAGGGGAGTAAGGTCGATATGTTACACCCAATACCGTTGTAACGGGTATTGACGATGTATCGCGTACACTACGGGCAACGCCCCTCGCTCCACGCACTCCTCGTTTGCTCCGCCCATGCTCATGCGCCCCCTTGGCCTCACCTCCCCCTCCCCTCCTCCTTTCCCCCGCCCGCAGGCTCCCCCCACCCTTCTTCCCGCGTCCTACTGACTCCGCGGCCCTCCCCGCCGCTTCCGCAGAGCCTGGCGCTGCTGGCGGCGATGGGGGGAGTGATGAGAGCAGAGGCGCGGGCATCGATCGGGGGAGTGAGGGCGCGGGTCAACTCGAGACGCGGCAGGAGCAGGGGGAAGGGGGCGAGGAGGGCGGTAGGGGGACGGGGGAGCAGGAGGTGCCGGAGGGGTCAGTGGTGCGGGAGCAGCTGGCGGGGCGGCCAGAGCTGTGGCGCGGCGTGCACGTGGCGGGCGCAACGTGGGCGGGCGCGGGGGTAGCGGAAGGGGCGGGGGCTGGGCCGGGGCGAGGGGAGAGACCGGGGGAAGGAGGAGCGGGGGCGCCTGGGCCAGGGCAGAGCGGAGGGGGGGAGGCAGCGGCGGGCAGCGGAACGTACCTGCAGGCGCGCGCGCTGCTGTCGAACATGGCGAAGAGCATGGAGCAGCTTGAGAGCGGGCTGTCCGCCCGCCACAAGGTACCCGTGTGTGTGCACCGCCATGCCCGGTCCCCGTGCCGTGCTGGACCAGTACGTTGCATCGTACCAGCAGAGCCTGCATGACTTGTCCCGTTGCCATCTCGTTAGCATGCACACACACGCACCACACGCACAGACACACTCACCCTCACGCCTACTCTCCCCCCCATGCGTGGCCTGGCATGGCATGGCATGGCATGGTGTGGCATGGCGAGGTCACAGGAGATGGGCGAGTCAACGCAGTTCATCACGGGCATCCGCTCCAGCGAACCAGCTGCCGGCCAGGTGGGCGCCAGGCCACGTGGGTGGCAGGGCACGTGGGCGCCAGGCCACGTGGGTGGCAGGGCACGTGGGTGGGAGGGCACGTGGGTGGCATGGCACGTGGGTGGCAGGGCACGTGGGTGGCATGGCACGTGGGTGGCAGGGCACGTGGGTGGAAGGGCACGTGGGTGGCAGGGCGTGTGGGTGGCAGGGCGTGTGGGTGGCATGGCACGTGGGTGGCATGGCACGTGGGTGGCAGGGCACGTGGGTGGCAGGGCGTGTGGGTGGCAGGGCGTGTGGGTGGGGCTATCGTGGGTGGTGGGGTGCGGGGATGGGGTTGGTGTGCCTGATGCTGTGCTCCTAGCGCATGCTCACAGCATTGCTGACGCCGGCAGCGGGCAGGGTCACTGGTGGGAGCAGCAGGTTGGGTGTGGTAGCAGGTTGGGTGTGGTAGCAGGTTGGGTGTGGTAGCAGTGTGCTTGCACCCGGCATGAGGCATTGCTCTGTGATAGCGTGAGGCAGCATGGGACTGCAATCTGACAGCCGCTGACATGTGCTCTATGCTGTGCATGTGCTCTATGCTGTGCATGTGCTCTATGCTGTGCATCTGCTCTATGCTGTGCATCTGCTCTATGCTGTGCATCTGCTCTATGCTGTGCATCTGCTCTATGCTGTGCATCTGCTCTATGCTGTGCATGTGCTCTATGCTGTGCATCTGCTCTATGCTGTGCATCTGCTCTATGCTGTGCATGTGCTCTATGCTGTGCATCTGCTCTATGCTGTGCATCTGCTCTATGCTGTGCATGTGCTCTATGCTGTGCATCTGCTCTATGCTGTGCATGTGCTCTATGCTGTGCATCTGCTCTATGCTGTGCATCTGCTCTATGCTGTGCATCTGCTCTATGCTGTGCATCTGCTCTATGCTGTGCATCTGCTCTATGCTGTGCATCTGCTCTATGCTGTGCATCTGCTCTATGCTGTGCATCTGCTCTATGCTGTGCATCTGCTCTGTGCTGAAATAAAATCGTATGGGTACATGGGCATGGCATTGTGTGGGCATGGCATGTGTTGGCATGGCATTGTGTGGGCATGGCATGTGTGGGCATGGCATTGTGCGGGAATGGCATGTGTGGGCATGGCATTGTGTGGGTATGGCATTGTGTGGGCATGGCATGTGTGGGTATGGCATTGTGCGGGCATGGCATGTGTGGGCATGGCATTGTGCGGGCATGGCATGTGCGGGCATGGCATGTGCGGGGATTGCATGGCATGGCATGGCATGGCACATGGCAGGGCGCAGTGGTGCGGAGAGCAGAGGAGATGGTGGCGCGCATGCAGGTGCAGTTTGCAGCCATGGAGAAGGAGGCGGCCCACAAGGACACCGTGCTCGAACGCCTGCTCGCCCACGCCAAGTCCACCAAGCAGGTGCGCCTCACCCCACGCCATTCTGCCTTGCTGCCTGCGTTGCCCCCACCGCCTTGAGGGGAGGAGCTCGTGGCACCCACCCTTGCTCTCTTCTGTGACCCCTCCTGTGATCTCTCCTTTCCTTCCTTCCTCACCTCATCTCTTCTCGCTTTCTTTTCTTCATTTCTGCTTTCGCTTCAAAGATTTCATTCCTGCCTGTGTGCTGGTGTGATTGCATGCATTTGTGTGTGCATGCGTGCATGTGTGCGTTTGCATGCGTGCATGGGGCCACGCGGCGCGGGGAGCAGCGAATGAGGGCGGTGGAGGAGCGGTCGCGGGTGGAGAAGGACGAGCTGAGGCGGGAGATGACGGAGCAGCAGCAGCGCATGCAGAAGGTGCGCTGCCCGCCCCTCGCACTGCACCGCACTCTACCGCATTCAACATCCATATTGATAACCTCTTCCGTCCTCCATCCCCCATCTACCATTCCTCTCACTCGCATCCTTTTCCTTCCTCTTCCCCTTCCGTCTCCGTCCACTCAATTGTCTCGTCTTGTCTCCCTCTCCCACACCCCTGCCATCCATCCCGTCCTCTCCGCCCCACCACCCCACCACAACCGACCCACGTGGGCTTGGTGCGGGCAGGAGCTGGAGTCGGCGGCGGGGAGGGAGGAGAGGATGAGGCGGCAGCTGATGGAGGCGCAGGAGGGCATAGCGCACCGGGACGCCTTCCTGCAGCAGCTGCAGGAGGAGGCTGCACTCTCCGCCTCCGCGCTCAAACAGGCCGCCAGGGTGGGCTGGGGGGGTTAGGCGCTTTGCCTCACAATGGTTATGCTGCACTGGCTGGTGTCAGATGGGGTGGGGTGGGGTGGGGTTGGCTGTGGTGGTGTGGGTCGGGAATTGCATAGCCGACTGAGTGCCGGCATGTTCATTTCTGAGGGCATAGCGCACCGGGACGCCTTCCTGCAGCAGCTACAGGAGGAGGCTGCGCTCTCCGCCTCCGCGCTCAAACAGGCCGCCAGGGTGCGCAGGGGGGGATGGGGGGTTTGTTTGCCTGGGAAGGGTTTCGCTTCCCCAGAATGGTATCAGATGGGGTGGGCTGGGCTGGGCTGGGCTGGGTTGCGGTGCTGTGGGTAGGGAAGCAAATAGAGGATAGAGTGATGGCATTTCTTACAGGATCACTGTCCAGCAGCAACACACATTTCTTCATGCTTTATGCTGCAGGGTTTTTTTTAGAATTCTAAATAAAACCCTGCCTCCCTGCCTCCCTCCCTGCATCGTCCCTTCCCGTCCCACCCCTCTCCCTCCCGTTCCCCTCCTTCCCCGTGGTGTCCTGTCCTGTCCGTGTGTGTGTGGGAGCGGGCTGACAGGCGATGGTGGCGGCGCGGGACCGCACGTTGAGGATAGAGGAGCAGCTGGAGTCGATGGGCGACCAGCTGGCCAAGGAGCGCGCCAAGACCCGCCGCGAGCGCGAGAACACCGCGCGCGTCACTGCTGTACGTGCACCACCGCCTGGAGGGGGGGAAGGCCACGTGATATGAGTAACTTTTTGAGACGTCTCAAACAGCGCACCACCGCCTGGAAGGGGGGGGGAGAGGGAATGGGAGGATGGGGGCTTCATGGAAAAACGTGCGATGTGTAGACCGGCATGGGGCGGGGTGCAAGGGCTCTCGTGCATTCTGCATCAGCAATGCCTGCCACTGCATCATCAATGCCTGCCCTGCATCAGCAATGCCTGCCACTGCATCAGCAATGCCTGCCACTGCATCAGCAATGCCTGCCACTGCATCAGCAATGCCTGCCACTGCATCAGCAATGCCTGCCACTGCATCAGCAATGCCTGCCACTGCATCAGCAATGCCTGCCACTGCATCAGCAATGCCTGCCACTGCATCAGCAATGCCTGCCACTGCATCAGCAATGCTTGCCACTGCATCAGCAATGCCTGCCACTGCATCAGCAATGCCTGCCACTGCATCAGCAATGCCTGCCACTGCATCAGCAATGCCTGCCACTGCATCAGCAATGCCTGCCACTGCATCAGCAATGCCTGCCACTGCATCAGCAATGCCTGCCACTGCATCAGCAATGCCTGCCACTGCATCAGCAATGCCTGCCACTGCATCAGCAATGCCTGCCACTGCATCAGCAATGCCTGCCACTGCATCAGCAATGCCTGCCACTGCATCAGCAATGCCTGCCACTGCATCAGCAATGCCTGCCACTGCATCAGCAATGCCTGCCACTGCATCAGCAATGCCTGCCACTGCATCAGCAATGCCTGCCACTGCATCAGCAATGCCTGCCACTGCATCAGCAATGTCTGCCACTGCATCAGCAATGCCTGCCACTGCATCAGCAATGCCTGCCACTGCTCCTCATTCCCTCACTTGCCATTTCCCAACGCATCTTGCTCCTCCCCACCGGCTTGCATCCTCATCAACCACTCTCTCCCCGTCCCTGCTCCCACCGCTGCTGCTGCGGTGGTGGCGTGGGCGCTCACAGGAGCTGGCGGAGGCGTGCATGGCAGTGGAGGAGATGGCACGGCGGGTGGGGCGGCTGGAGAGTTGACTTTTGAGTCGACTCAAAAGTCAACGCATCTCATCGCTTTCCAATGTTTCCATCCTCATCCTCTGCCACACTCCACCTTTCCCCCCCACCCTACCCTCTCTCCACGCTGACGTGATGGGGTGGCGCCGTGGGTGCTCACAGGAGCTGGCGGAGGCGCGCATGGCAGCGGAGGAGATGGCGGGGCGGGTGGGACGGCTGGAGAGTGAGGTGCAGCGCAAGGAGCGCGAGATGCAGCAGAGCCGCCAGGAGGCGGACGCTGTCAGGGCGCAGCTGCAAGCCACGCAGCAGGTAGGCACGGCGCAGCTGCAAGCCACGCAGCAGGTAGGCACGGCGCAGCTGCAAGCCACGCAGCAGGTAGGCACGGCGCAGCTGCAAGCCACGCAGCAGGTAGGCACGGCGCAGCTGCAAGCCACGCAGCAGGTAGGCACGGCGCAGCTGCAAGCCACGCAGCAGGTAGGCACGGCGCAGCTGCAAGCCACGCAGCAGGTAGGCACGGCGCAGCTGCAAGCCACGCAGCAGGTAGGCACGGCGCAGCTGCAAGCCACGCAGCAGGTAGGCAGGGTGAACGGCTGTGGAGGGTCGAACGAGGGGCTCAATTGGTGTGTGTGGGGGGAGGGGTTGAGTGGGGAGGGGTTGAGTGGGGAGGCGTTGAGTGGGGAGGGGTTGAGTGGGGAGGGGTTGAGTGGGGAGGGGTTGAGTGGGGAGGCGTTGAGTGGGGAGGGGTTGAGTGGGGAGGGGTTGAGTGGGGAGGGGTTGAGTGGGGAGGGGTTGAGTAGGGAGGGGTTGAGTGGGGAGGCGTTGAGTGGGGAGGAGTTGAGTGGGGAGGGGTTGAGTGGGGAGGGGTTGAGTGGGGAGGGGTTGAGTGGGGAGGGGTTGAGTGGGGAGGGGTTGAGTGGGGAGGGGTTGAGTGGGGAGGGGTTGAGTAGGGAGGGGTTGAGTGGGGAGGGGTTGAGTGGGGAGGGGTTGAGTGGGGAGGGGTTTAGTGGGGAGGGGTTGAGTGGGGAGGGATTGAGTGGGGAGGGGTTGAGTGGGGAGGCGTTGAGTGGGGAGGGGTTGAGTGGGGAGGGGTTGAGTGGGGAGGGGTTGAGTGGGGAGGGGTTGAGTGGGGAGCCGTTGAGTGGGGAGGGTTTAGTGGGGAGGGGTTGAGTGGGGAGGGTTGAGTGGGAGGGGTTGAGTGGGGAGGGGTTGAGTGGGGAGGGGTTGAGTGGGGAGGGGTTGAGTGGGGAGGGGTTGAGTGGGGAGGCGTTGAGTGGGGAGGGGTTTGTTAAGATGAGAGGAGCCATGGATGGCGAGAGAGTTAGGTAGGGTCGAAAAAGTTGAACTAGAAAGAGAAATGTCGAGGTACAAAAGAGAGATGGTTGGAAACCCTAATTGAACCTAGGGTGTGTTCGGTTTGTACTAAAAGCTACAAAATGAACCTAAAATGAACTTGAATGCGTAACGCTCTCTAAGCATGGAGAAATAATATAAGAACACCAAAATAAAGACCAGAGCGAGCTCTAGCCTACTCCAACACACCCCCAGGCTAGGTGAAGCTCTGGAGCAAAACACCTAGCGAACCAACACACCCCCAGAAGTGGAGAGACGCGTGAGCCCAAGCTCGCGCACGTAGAAACGGTGTGGCGCACGCAGAAGGGTCTTGGTGAAAATGTCAGCAAGGTTGGCAGCAGCGTCCACCTTGCGCAGACGTAAGAAACCAGACTGCACCAGCTCGCGCACAAAGAAATAGCGGACCTCGATATGCTTGCTGCGGGCGTGATAGACAGGATTTTTAGTGAGATGAATCATGCTCGCACTGTCACAGGAGAGCGTCACAGAGGACTGAGAGTGACCAAGCTCAGCAAGGAGAAAGGAGAGCCAGCGAGCCTCCTGAGCTGCCAAGGTGCTTGCGTACAACTCAGCCTCACAGGTGGAAAGGCAGACAGAGGATGAGCGAGTAGAGCGCCAGCTTATGAGACCACTGCCAAGAGTGAAACCATAGCCCTGAGATGAGCGGCGATCAGGGCGGGAGTCAGCATAGGAAGAGTCACTGTAGCCGGAGAGAACGGGAGGAACAGAGCCACCAAGAGTGAGAGCAAGGTCAGAGGTGGCGCGCAGATAGCGCAGGACGCGCTTAGCAGCCGCCCAGTGCACGTCAGTGTGGTGGCCTAGACCAACAAAGCGAGAGAGAACACTGAGGGGGTAAGCAAGGTCGGGGCGAGTGCACATCATAGCATACATGAGAGATCCAACGAGCTCAGGATAAGGCCGCAGCTCAGAGGAGGGAGCAGGGACGGCAGGGGCAGTGAGTTGATGGTTAGCGGGAAGAGGGGTGGAGATCGGCTTGGCCTGCGACATCTCAAACCGCTGGAGGATGGACTGGATATAGAAAGATTGGGAGAGAGAGATGGTGCGGGCAGCACGATCACGACGGATCTCCATGCCGAGGTAGTGACGAAGCTCGCCAAGGTCCTTGCACAGGAGACGCGCCTGCAGGGCCTTCTTGACAACTGCAAGATCGGCGGAGTCCTCAGCAAGTAACACCAAATCGTCCACATAGGCAAGGATGTAAAGCCTGTGGGGGGATGTGCGAATGAAGAGACTGGGGTCGGAGGTGGAGGTAGAGAAGCCAAGAGAGTGAAGGGTGGAGGCGAGCTTGGCGTGCCACTCGCGTGGGGCCTGTTTAAGGCCATACACAGGTCGTTTCAATTCCCAAATCGTGCCTGGAGGGAAAGGGCGAGGAAAGCCAGCGGGGCGCTCAAGGAATATGCGCTCATGCAGCTCGCCCTGGAGGAAAGCATTGGAAACGTCCATGGAATGGATCTCCCAATTCCAGCGAGCACCTAAGTCAAGAAGGAGGCGAAGGGTGGGGAGACGGGCTGTGGGGGAGTAAGTGGCAAAGTAATCAATGCCTTCACGCTGAGTGAACCCCTTGGCACAGTAGCGGGCTTTGAAGACAGGAAGTTCGCCGGGCAGCTGCTTGACACGGAAGACCCATTTGCCCTTGACAATGGTGGCGCCAGGAGGAGGGACAGTCAATGTATGAATTAGTCCTGGTGAATGCCTCACACTCAGCAATGATGGCAGCCATCCACTCAGTGGCATGAAAGCCCGACACAGCCTCGGAGTAGGACTGAGGGGTGGGGATGGCAGCGGTGTCGACAGAGAGAAGAGTGGGAGAATTGCTAAAGTCACCAACGGTGACACACAGGAGAGGAGAAACAGGATGAATGTTGAAGAGCTCCTCAAAGCGATCTTCAAGAAGAGTAACATTCTGAGATGGAGAAAGACGAGTGAAAAGAGCAGAGTGCTGAAAATTAGAAAGTGCGCGAGTCATGGAGCGAGTAAGGCGTGGGGAAGGGGGGGGAATGGGAACAGACGAAGGAGGTGGAGAGGAAGATGGAAGTGAGGAAGGGAGGGGAGCCGAAGAGGAAGAGGCGGGTGGGGAGGCGCCAGAGATGATGTCGGAAGGGGGGGCAGTAGAGGCTGGCGCAGAGGGAGGGGCGGGAAGGGGCGGGATAGGAGGGGGGGGGGGGAGGGGAGGGAAGGACAGACGGCGGCTGATCGAAATCAGACCAGTGAAGAGAGGGGACAGGAGGGGCGGGTGGGGGGGAATGGAATGGGGATTGAGTCTCATCGAAAATGACGTCCTGGCTGCGGATGAGTTGGTGAGAGGAAGGGGCATTGAAAAGATAGCCAGGACAGTCAGAGTTGATGCCAAGGAATGCACAGAGCTGCGTCTTGGGAGCGAGTTTCCCACCCTGACGGGACCGGTCTGCTGGATTGACAAGAACATGGGCGACACATCCCCAGACCCGAAGAGGGCGAACAGAGGGCTGGCGGCCAGTCCAAAGCTGGAAGGGGGTGGTAGTAGGGCGAAGAGGATGAGGGCGGAGGTTAGAGAGTAGAGTGGCATGGAGGAGAGCATAGCTCCAAAGAGAGTGGGGAGCAGAGGCATGGGTGAGAAGGCAGCGAGTGATTTCCATGAGAGTGCGTTTGCGACGCTCGGCAACCCCATTCTGTTCTGGTGAGTGAGGAAGAGTGGAGGTCTGGCGAATGCCATGAGAGGCACAGTAAAAGGAGAGAGAATGATTAAAGAATTCACCACCACCATCCGAGTGGAAGCGCGTGACAGGATGCTTAAAGCGTAGACGAGCCTGCTCAGCCCAGCGAATGATGAGGGAGGGAGCGTCAGATTTGGCACGGAGGGGATAGACAATGGCAAATCGTGAGTGGTCATCAACCAAAAGCAGAAAGTAGCGATGACCCTGACGAGAAGCAGTAGGTGAAGGACCCCAGAGGTCCATATGAACAAGGTCAAGGGGTTGGGGAGAGGCAGAGGGAGAAGAGGGATGGGGTGACTGGGATAATTTGGCCTGGACACATGGGGTGCATGGAGGAGCAGGAGAGGGAGGAAGGGGGGGGAGAGAGGAAGGGAGGCCATGAAGAAGCTTGGAGGAGACCATACTGCGAAGAAGGGAAAATTGGGGTGGCCAAGCCGATGATGGAGGAGAAGGGTAGGTTGAGTGAGAGAACGACAGTCGCAAGAAGGAACGGGAGGGGCGGAAGCGGAAGAGGCATGATGGGTAGAAGGGGGGAGAGAGACACGAAGAGTGTAGAGGCGAGCGATAGGGGAAAGAGTAAAGCGTGCAAGATGGCGGTTGCGATGATAGAGATCAAAATAGGAGTCACATTCAGGAAAGATAGCTCGCACACAAAGAGCAGAGAGAGAGAAGGTTGTGGCGGCAGGAAGGGACATAGAGGCCAGTCACAGCACCAGAGGGGGAGGCAGGACAGGGAAGAGAGGAGGTAGCAGTGCAAGTCATGGTCATGGTATCCCCAGCTCCTTGAATGGAGAGGGGATGGGGAAAAGAGCGAAGCACACCAGCGTCACGAAAAACAGAGTCAGTGGCACCACTGTCAAGAACAAACTCAAGAGTGTGAGCAGCAGCTGTGGGACGAAGATACTGAGAATCATTGCCATTAACAGAAGGAGCAAACATCATGGCAAAACGAGGGTCCATAAGGGGAGAAGCCCCGGAATGCTATCCTGACTAGGCATAGTCACAATGAGAGCAGAGGTTTGAGCACTGGTACCAGAGTCGGCAACCACAAGTACCGCCTGGGCAGAAGACTGGCGACGCTGACGAGAGAGTTGAAGCCAATTGGGAGGGCGACCAGTGTTGCCAGCCAGGAACCAGTCATCGGTGAGCTTCTGGAAGCAGGAGGAGGCGGGATGATTGGTGCGACCGCAGGGCTGACCCTTGCGGGGCCCCTGGCGAATGATGTAGGTGCAAGGAGGAAAGGTGTTGCGAGGGCGAGAGGAAGCAGCGGCGGCAGTGGAGGTGGGGAGAGGGTGGGGGGGCGGAAGAGGGTGTGACAGCGGCGGCAGTAGGAGGGCAGCTGCGGAGGTTGAGCTGAGGGGAGAAACCAGAGGAGGAGGGAAAATGGCGAAGTAGTCTGCTGCTGCGCTGATGAGGGGAGAAACCAGAGGAGGAGGGAAAATGGCGGAGTAGTCTGCTGCTGCGCCGATGAGGGGAGAAACCAGAGGAGGAGGGATAGCGGCGGAGAAGTCTGCTGCTGTGCCGCTGAAGGGAGAAACAAGAGGAGGAGGGAGAATTGGGAAGAGTGTGCAGTTGAGCAGTTGAGAGGAGGATGTTGAGGAGGAGGGAAGGTGTGGAGGAACAACAGCTACACAACACAATCAGCTACCAGCTGCAGCAGATGAAGAGAGAAAAGAGGTGGATGAGGGGTGAGATAGTGGAGAGGGAACTAGTGGGAGAGAGGGGAGGAGGAGGAGGGTGAAGGGGCGGATTGTGGGAAGGGCAGGGCGCGCCACAAGGAGCTACGAGCCGCAGCAGATGGGGAGAGAAAATAGGAGGAAGAGGTGAGGTATTGGGGGAAGCACAAAGGAGAGAGGGAAGGAGGAGGAGGGTGAGGGAAGGGGCGGATTGAGGAAGGGCAGAGCGCACCGCAAGGAAGGGCAGGCACGCGCGCTGCTGGACGGTGCTTAGCGCGCGCGGCGGCAGGAGCGCAATGCGCGCGCGACGAGACAGGGAGGGGGGAGGGGACGGCTGAGCGCGCTACAGGCGGAAATCGCCGTGCTACCGTCCGAAACGTGAGGAGGAGGAAGCGGGATGAAGAGGGAAGGTGCGGACGGATGATCTGAACGGTAGGGAGGCGCGCTTCGGACTAGATTAGGGCACCCGAGCGAGTATAACGAAGAGAACCGCGCGGATGCTAAGAGTGAGGGGAAAGAAACGAGAGGAAAGGAAAAAAAATATATAAAAAAATCGTCTAGCGAAGTAGCGCGGAAAACGGCCTAACGGCCTAAGAAATGCGGATGAATATGAAACACCTAGGACTACGCTCTGAATACCATGTTAAGATGAGAGGAGCCATGGATGGCGAGAGAGTTAGGTAGGGTCGAAAAAGTTGAACTAGAAAGAGAAATGTCGAGGTACAAAAGAGAGATGGTTGGAAACCCTAATTGAACCTAGGGTGTGTTCGGTTTGTACTAAAAGCTACAAAATGAACCTAAAATGAACTTGAATGCGTAACGCTCTCTAAGCATAGAGAAATAATATAAGAACACCAAAATAAAGACCAGAGCGAGCTCTAGCCTACTCCAACAGGGTTGAGTGAGGGGGTCAAGCTACTCATCCCGGGTACAAGCTCTGGCCTGCCCCAATCTCTTCCTGCCCTTCACATCACCGCCACCTCCCCTCCCCCCTGTTACTTCTTTTGAGGCGCCTCAAAAGCCGCGACCTCCCCTCCCCCCTGTTCCGTCTTTCCGCTTCCCCCAGGCGCTGGAGGAGGCAGCGCGGCAGGCAAGGGAGGAGCAGGCGGGCAGGCAGCAGGCGGAGGCGGCGGTGGAGGAGGAGAGGGCGGCGGCGGCAGCAGCAGTGGCGGGGCAGATGAGCGCGGAGCAGCGGCTGATGGAGGCCCAGGCGCGCGTGCAGCTGCTGGAAGGCGAGGTGGACTCTCTCAAGGTGGGCGAGGGAGGGGAGTGGAGGGGAGTGGAGGGGAGGGGAGGGGAGGGGAGGGGAGGGGAGGGGAGGGGAGGGGAGGGGAGGGGAGGGGAAGGGAGGGGAGGGGTGGTGGGATGGGATTCACGAGGTGGCATGTGCGTGCCTCGTGGTCTGACCTGATGCAGAGGATGATGTTGTGCTGGTAACCCCTGGTCCGTGTAGCCCTCTCACCAACCCTCTCTCTTCCACCCGCCTCCCCACCCCATCTCGCGCCCTCGTGCTCCCGTGTGGTGTGTGGGCGTGGGAGCAGGAGGTGGCAGCGAGCAAGGACTCGCTGCTGGCGGCCGTGAAGGAGGAGACCATGCGCAATGCCGACATGCTGCTCGCTGCTGCCAACACTCGCAAGGTCACATACGGCAACAGCCTTGCCTTGCCTCGCCCACTCCACCACCCCTCCTTCCATCTGCACTCTCTCTCACTTTCCCCCTTTCCCCCCTTTCCCCCTTCCCTGTACCGTGCTTCGCTTTCCACCCTTCCCACATCCCCTCTTTCTCTTCTCCCCTTCTTCCCTGCGTCGATTGTTTGTCCCCTTCTTCCCTGCGTCGATTGTTTTTCCCCTTCTCCTCTTCCGCCTGCCCCCTTCCCCCCATTGTGTGTGTGGTGTGTGGTGTGCGGCGGAGGGCAGGAGCTAGCGGGGGCGGAGGCGCGGATAGCAGCGCTGCAGGGGTCGGTGGTGGCGTTGGAGGCGGAGGTGCGGCAGCAGGACCAGCTGCTCAGCGACATCCGCGCCGACGCTGTCTCCTCTGCTGACGCCCTGCGCACCGCCGCTCAGATCAACCAGGTGGGCGGCAGGGAGTTGTATGCTGAATCTGTTTCCTGAGATCCCAAAAAGTCAGATTCTGCTGACGCCCTGTGCACCGCTGCCCAGATGAACCAGGTGGGCGGCAGGGAGTGCTGCTGGGTGGTGCAGGCACGGGGCCACATGGGATGGGATGGTAAGGCAAACAGGGTGAGAGCAGAAACTGGTGAGGGTAAGAAGAATGTGCAATGAGACAGGAGAGAGTAGGCAAGTAAGCATTGCATGGATCACGAGCGGTCATGAGCTCTGCTCGTTGGTGCTCTGCTCGTTGGTGCTCTGCTCGTTGGTGCTCTGCTCGTTGGTGCTCTGCTCGTTGGTGCTCTGCTCGTTGGTGCTCTGCTCGTTGGTGCTCTGCTCGTTGGTGCTCTGCTCGTTGGTGCTCGCGCTCACCCCTTGCACCACCTGTGCCTCCCCATGCTTGTCCCTCTCCCACCCTGGTGGCACTGGCAGGACCTGAATGCAGCGCGGGAGCGAGAGGCGGAGCAGCTGGAGCAGCTTCTGATTTGACTCAAAAGCCTCCCCATGCTTGTCCCCTGCCCGCCCACCCACCCTGCTTGTGGTGGTGGCAGGACCTGAATGCAGCGCGGGAGCGAGAGGCGGAGCTGGTGGAACAGCTGGAGCAGCGCGAGGCGGAGGTGGAGAGCCTGCGCCGCGACACCACCGAGAACATCCGCGCGCAGCGCGCCGAGCTCGTGAGTCATTGGCGGGTGGTGTGGTGAAAGGGTGGAGGTGGTGGGTGCGAGGGCAGAGCTCATGCTTGTTCCGGGCCTCGCATCATCTCATGCTTGTGCCGGGCCTCGCATCATCTCATGCTTGTGCCAGGCCTCGCATCATCTCATTGCTGCTTCACCCTCCTTCCCTTGCTTACCGTATGCCCTTCTTCCCCACACAAAACCACCACTCTCCCCCCTTCCTTCGGCACCCCTCCCCGATTCTCTATTTGTGTGTGGTGTAACTGGCGGGGGGCAGGCGCTGCGGGAGGCTGAGAGGAGGGCGCGGGAACTGGAGATGGAGTCGCTGCTTCACCCCCACTCTCCCCGCCCCCACAAAACCACCACTTTCCCCACCCCCACAAAACCACCACTCTCCCCACGCGCACAAAATCACCTCTGTCTCCCCTTGCTGCAGGCGCTGAGGGAGGCGGAGAGGAGGGCGCGCGAGCTGGAGATGGAGAGGGAGTCGCTGCGGCGGGGCGTGGCGAAGCGCGACCAGGCGCTGGGGCTCATGAAGAGAGAGCTCGAACGCAGCGCCCACATGCTCTCCGCCGCTGCTGACACCCGCCAGGTGAGCCCTGCTGCTCACACCCGCCAGGTGAGCCCTGCTGCTCACACCCGCCAGGTGAGCCCTGCTGCTCACACCCGCCAGGTGAGCCCTGCTGCTCACACCCGCCAGGTGAGCCGTGCCGTGCTGCTCACTCACACCCGCCAGTTGCTCTTATCAGGTGGATGAGTTTGTGTGGTGCAGTACCGATGCTGCGACTGAGGGGCTGTTTGCTGTGCTTCATGCCCCCCCTGCCCTCCCTTGCCATGGGATACGAGCCTCATCAACTGCCGTTGTGTGGGGACTGGGGGTGACAGGCATTACGGAGCATGAAGGAGCAGATGGAGTGGATGCAGGAGGAGGCGCGCGTCAAGGAGGAGCGCCTGGCAGCGCTGCAGGAGGAGTTCGTCTCTGCTCTCAAGGGCACCACCTTCCCATCGCTGGTACACGCCTCTTGCATGCGTGCATGAATGCACCACTGTTTTTCTTAGGTGCTTCTCGTGCGTGGATGTGGCGCACTTATATAGTTTTCGCAAATCCTCACTTCGACAGTGCTCTTTTCCTTGTACCGTATGTTGGCGTCGGAACTGGCTTGTTTCCCGCAGGACAAGAGCATACTAAAGCGAAGAAAGGTGCCGCCACAAGGGAAGTCATCTGGTGATGCGCAACCCCAATGACCTTCCTGAGAGCAACACTCGCCTCTATGGCAATGGAGCGCCTGTAGCAGCAATTGTATAAAGCATGGAGTGTGCTTGGTTCCTGAGTGTGTATGCAAGCTTCTGATGGTGATCATAATTAATTATTGGGTCTTGATAAAGCTAGGGCAAATTGTATGTATTTCGGGAGCATGACTGTAGAGCTTTGCGATCAGCCTTAGCGCGGATGCAACATCTTGTGGGCGGCAGCAGTGTTCGATTGCTGTCAGCCACCTAATCCATCTCTAATCCTTGACCCCTGAATTCGGCCTACACCGCACAGCATTGGCTGTGGGTTTGTGCCCAGGCGAAGCGGTTCGACGCTGGGGGCCAATGACACTCCCCTTGTGCTGGGGAGCTCCACGATTGGGCGAGGGCTGTTGAGATCGACGGCAGATGTGGCAAGTTCCTGAACCCACCCCTTTGGGGGACTTGAAACAGCTAGTCCGCCAACGTGGCGGAAGATTTTGACGTCAATATCTGCCCGTTCGGCTTGTTGTTGGGAGGGAGACCTGTATCCGCGACTGGTGTTCCAACGAAGTTTCGAGGGCGCGAATCGTTTCGTTGGTGACCGTCGTTCGGCCCCCCTTTCCTTCAAATCCGTCCAAACCCATTCTCGCCACCACCAACGCACCCCGCTCCCGCACGCCACATTCACTCACTGCAATCCCCCCTCCTCACCACCAATTCGCGCTCTCGTCTCGACTCGACGTCTCTTGCACCATCACGGAAATGGTCGTTTTCTTGGAAATGCAAGTTCGTTTCAGTGGACACAGCCTTACGCCATTTTGTGTGCTGCTTCCAGTCCAGCCCTCCAGCCACGCTGCAGCCCCGAAAAAAATAGCATTCTTGCCATTCTTCAGGTGAATCCTTCGAGCCACAGCACATAGGCTCGCCGCTCACAGCTTTCCAGCGCCACCATGCTTTCCGCGCTCGGCGCAAGCTCCAAGGCCGTGCTGCGCGCGGACCTGCAGCCATGTGCGTCATGCCACTCTCACCGCCTCGACTCCGCTCACCACCTCCCGGCAACCGCGCTGCTCTTGCATTCCGCTGCCCCGCAAGCGCACCAGCTGCGCGCGCTCCGGTCCTCTTCAGCCGCTGCGCTCTTCCCTTCAGCCGGGGGCCGCGCGGACAGTGGGCGCAGGTCCGCGGTTGTTCGCGTGAGCGCCGAAGCGGAGACTCCGCAGAGCGAGCGGCTCCAATTGAACGGCTCGGGTAGGTGGATGGGGATGGGCGCGCGCCTGCACTGCCTTTGGGGAATTGCTGCACTTCTAGGACCGTCGTCCCTCCTCTGCTTCAGTCCTGCTCCCGTGCCGCGCGAATGTCTTGGCCCAGCCAGTACTAGTCATCCCCATTTCCTTACGACCTCCTCTGCCCTCTGCCTCCCCTCCCCCCTTTTCCTCGTGCCATCCGCCGCGGTGGTGTCCCCCCGTGCGCGTGGGGTGCGCAGTGCTGCGCGCGGACCCGCTGTGGTCGGCGGTGACGGAGCAGGTGGCCATCGGCGGGAGCGTCACGACGGCGGGTGCGGAGGACGTGCGCGCGCTGCAGACGCAGTTCGGCATGACGGCCGTCGTTAACGTCGAGGTACGTTAACGTCGAGGTACTCACTCAACCCCGTCGCGCACACCAACGCCCGTGACGTTTCACACTTGCTCACATCTCGTGCCCATTTCTACGCGTGCTGACATGACATGGCGTGCGTGTGCCTTTGGTGGCGGCGTGCAGGAGGAGAGCGCGATGAAGGCGCGCGGCAGCAGCTGGGACGAGGAGCGGCGGCGGCTGGAGGAGCAAGGCGTGGTGGCCGTGTGGGTGCCCGTCAAGGAGCACGACGCCACTGAGCAGGTGAGGCGCACGCCGCCACAGAACAGGTGAGGCGCACGCCGCCACAGAGCAGGTGAGGCGCACGCCGCCACGGAGCAGGTGAGGCGCACGCCGCCACGGAGCAGGTGAGGCGCACGCCGCCACGGAGCACATAAGGTGCTTGAAATGCTTCGACTATCATGGCCTCTCCTCCTTGTCCTCCGTCTCTTGTCTCCGCTTGCTCCGCTCCCCCTCAACGCTCTTCCTCTCGGCCGCTTCTCCCCTCCACTCTGGTCTCCCTCCCACCCCTTTCTCCCATGGGCGGTAGGCGCTGATGCTGCCGCAGGTGGTGCGGGTGGTGTCGGCGCTGGTGGCGGCGGGGCACACGGTGGTGCTGCAGTGCTCGTCGGGCGACCGCATCTCGCCGCTCATCGCCATCGGGTGAGCTTTGAGTCGACTCTAAAAGCCGGGTGCGCGTGAGATAGGGGGGGAAGTACACGTGTAAAGCGAAGGAACGGGGACACGGAATAAAAACATTTGAGCGGTAACATGGTTACAAGCGTGTGGCAACGCACGGGCATGAGTGGCCGACTGTTTGAGCACCCCCCTCGCCCCTGGTCTGTTCTGTGTGCATCGGCCGTGCTGCGCGCGCAGGTACCTCATGTTCGTGCGCGGCATGCCCGCAGATGCCGCGTCCGCGCTCGTGGCGGAGAGGCGCGCCGGCATCAGCCCGCCCATGGGCGTGCTCACGGAGGTGCGCGGGGGAGGGGAGAGGGGGGAGGGGGAGGACAGAGGGAATGATGCATGCGGGATTCCCATGAGAGGCATGCGGGGTAGCGGTTAGCGGAGAGGTAAAGGGTGTGCAGTGGTGCGATGCGATGCGTGCAGGCTGGCGCTTGCATGCCTTGCAGGGCCGCTCGAGGGTGTGTGGGTACGTAAAGTACGTAGCACGAAGACCACACGCTCTATTTCCTGCCGCCTGCATGCCATCATCGCCTGCATGCCATCATCGCCTGCATGCCATCATCGCCTGCATGCCATCATCGCCTGCATGCCATCATCGCCTGCATGCCATCATCGCCTGCATGCCATCATCGCCTGCATGCCATCATCGCCTGCATGCCATCATCGCCTGCATGCCATCATCGCCTGCATGCCATCATCGCCTGCATGCCATCATCGCCTGCATGCCATCATCGCCTGCATGCCATCATCGCCTGCATGCCATCATCGCCTGCATGCCATCATCGCCTGCATGCCATCATCGCCTGCATGTCATCATCGCCTGCATGTCATCATCGCCTGCATGTCATCATCGCCTGCATGTCATCATCGCCTGCATGTCATCATCGCCTGCATGTCATCATCGCCTGCATGCTGACGTTATGCCATCCCTCCCTCTCCCCGCCGTGCCTTTGTCTCCCCATTCCGCGTGCCCCCGTGCGGCGGGCAGGCGATGGAGAAGGTGTTGGCGGGGGCGACGGCGCGCGTGATAGAGATAGCGGAGAGCATCTACCGCCAGCGCGAGCGCACGGGGCAGCCCGGCGACTCCAACTCCGACTGGGTGGTGCGCTCCCCTGCCCTGCCTTCCCCCCTCCCTTCTCCCCTGCCTTCCCCCTGCCCCCTCCCTTTCCCCCTCCCTTCCCCCCTGCCTTCCCCCGGGCCTTCTCCCCTGCCCTCCCCTCGCCCCGCTATGCGCGCGTGCTGCTCACCTCCCAGTCTGCGAATTCCTTCATCTTTTGAGTCGACTCAAAACTCATTCGCCAGCTTTCCCTCCTCACCCCCCCTTCTCCCCACCCTGTGCCCCGCTACTCCCCCCTTCTTTCCACCCTGTGCTCCGCTACCCCGCCCGTCTCAATTCCCCCGTCGCAACGCCCCCCCTGGCTCTGTGAGCGCAGCAAGCCCAGCGGGCGTACATCAACGAAGCCTTTGCCAAATGGCTCGCTGCTGACGTCAGCTTCGCAGAGTCTATCGCACAGGTGAGTGCCTCGAGCCGTCCACCCCTCCACCCCTCCACCCCGCCACCCCTCCACCCCGCCACCCCGCCACCCTTCCATCCTCAAGGGCTCTCCGTGGCCTCGCCCCTCCCCTCGCCTCTGCTTCACGTCATCTTCCCCACCCGCGCCTGCTTGCCTTTTTCTACCCGCTGGTGTCTCTCTGGCCCTCCACTGCCACGTCTCACCGCACTGCATCTCATGGCGCCGCACTGCACCCCTGCTTGTCCCCACTGCAGGCGGCGGAGCGCAAGGCGAGGGAGCAGCAGGTGGCAGAGGAGGCGGAGCGGAGGGCTGCTGGGCCCGCCAAGGTAAGGCGCCTCTACCCTCTCGCCTCTACCCTCTCGCCTCTACCCTCTCGCCTCTACCCTCTCGCCTCTACCCTCTCGCCTCTACCCTCTCGCCTCTACCCTCTCGCCTCTGCCCTCTCGCCTCTACCCTCTCGCCTCTACCCTCTCGCCTCTACCCTCTCGCCTCTGCCCTCTCGCCCCTTCACATGCACTCTCGCCCCTTCACATGCACTCTCGCCCCTTCACTCTCAGCCCTTCACTCGCTTTGTTTCAACTTTCAACCCCTCTGCACGTACCCCAGTGCCCGCACCGCACCCAACCGTTTCTCTCCCCGCCCTGCTACCGCGCCCTGCCCTGCGCCCCCCCCAGCGCCTGCTCACGCCCATCCGCTGGAGCGACTCCGCCAAGGCCCCCGCGCCGCCGCAGTCCGCCCCCCCCGCGGGGGGCGCGGGCAGCAGCGAGGCACTGGCGGCGGCGAACCGGCGCGTGGCGGCGCTGAGCAAGGAGCTGGAGGGGGTGACGCGCGTGGCGGGCGAGCAGGCGGCGACGCTGCAGCGCGCGGGGCAGCAGGTGGCGGAGCTGACGGGGCAGGTGGAGGCGCTTCAGCGCAAGGAGCGGCTTTACACGGAGGCGCTGGCGCAGGCGAACGAGCGCATGGAGCTGCTGGGGGAGCGCATGCGCGCCGTGGAGCAGCAGGGGCGCGAGGAGAAGGAGCGCCTGGAGGGGGAAGTGCGCTCGCTGCGCGCGCGCGTGGAGGCGGACGAGCAGCGCGGCGGGCGCGCGGCGACGGTGATCCAAGGGCTGCGCATGGAGCTGCAGGCCGCGAAGGATGAGGTTAAGGAGCAGTGGGCGGCCGTCGCGCGCGCGGAGAAGAGCATCGGCGCGCTCAGCGCGCGCGTGAAGGAGGAGGAGCAGCGCGCGCAGCGTGCGGAGGCGGCGGCGCTGGCCGCGGAGGAGGACAAGCGGCGCGCGCTGCGGGAGCTGGAGGGGGCGAAGGGGGAAAGCGTGAGCGAGTCGCAAGACGCGCGCGAGCGCATGTCGGCGCTTGGCGCGCAGGTGCAGCAGCTGAGCGAGCGGCTGAAGGCGGCGACGAGCGTGGCGGAGAAGGCGACGGGGCGCGCGGACGTGCTGGAGAAGCAAGTGGCGCAGCTGGAGGCGCGCGCGCAAAAGGCGGAGGAGCAGGAGGCGGTATCCGCGCGCGCAGCGGGGCTGCTGACAGAACAGGTGAAGGCGCTGGAGGGCAGCGCGGCGGAGGCGGGCGCGCGCGTGGGGCAGCTGAGCGGCGAGCTGGAGCGGCTGCGCATGCGCGAGGCGGAGCGCGCGGCGGAGGGCGTGGCGAGCGGGGAGCGCGCGAAGCAGCTGATGGCGCTGGTGAAGGAGCTGTCGGAGAAGGAGGCGCGACAGCGCGCGCGCACGGAGGAGGTGGAGGCGAAGCTGACGGCGCTGCGCAACCAGGACTCGGAGCTGGCCTCGCGTGCTGCCGTGTTCTCCGCCCAAATGGAGGAGATGGCCCGCCAGGTATGTGGGGAGATGGCCCGCCAGGTATGTGGGGGAGATGGCCCGCCAGGTATGTGGGGAGATGGCCCGCCAGGTATGTGGGGGGCCACGAGGGATGAGGGGGGATAGCCGTGGCGCATAGGACATGGTCGCATAGCGGTATGACAGAGGACGCAAGTGTACTTCGGGACATAGGCGTTTGCCGAGGGGCGCGAGCTGCTTTGGATCCTGACATTTCTTCCCTTGTCCCGTTACTCTCCCCCCAATGCGGCGTGTGGTGCTGTGGTGGTGGCAGCTGGCGCGGCTGAACGCGGAGCTGGCGTTTGCGGAGGGGCGCGAGGGCGAGGTGCAGGAGGCGTGGCGCGCGCAGCTGGGGGCAGCGAGCGACGTGATGGGCGCCATGGGACCCGAAGCGGCAGCACTGGCGGCAGAGAGGGGCGTGGAGATGGAGATGGAGCAGGCTGAGGGGCAGCCGGGCGAGCTGCTCAGGCAAGTGCCCGCCCTGCCACGCCCGTGCTAGGGGGTGCTGCCGGGTGTGCTGTGCTGCCCGCACCTCTCATCCCTCACATTTCATCCCTCACCTCTCACCTCTCGCCTCTCACCTCTCATATGTCGTCCTATCATGAAGCACTTGCCCTTTGCTCGTGCCATCTGCTGCTGTTCATCTCACGTGCCTTCACTGTCTCTGCCCCACCCCCTTGCTGCTTCATGCCGTGTGCCGCGCCCCTCCCTGCACCCCTCCCTGCCCCCTCCCTGCTGCATGTGCGCACTACAGGGTGTTGATGCAGCGGGTGAGCTGTGAGGCGGCGGTGGTGAGGGAGCGCAGCGCACGGCTGATAGAGGAGACGCACCACATGCGCCAGCAGCTCGACGAAGCGCGCAACCAGGTGCCGCCCTGCTGCTCACCCTGCTGCTCACACCACGTGCTGCTCACACCACGTGCTTCTTTCCCGAATCCACTTGTCCACACGCACCTCTGCATGGCCACACCCTCACCGTACCGTGCTCCTCATGCTCATGTGTGTGTGTGTGTGTGTGCGTGTGTGTGTGTGTGTGTGCGCGCGTGTGTGCGTGTGTGCGTGTGTGTGTGTGTGTGCGTGTGTGCGTGTGTGTGTGCGTGTGTGCGTGTGTGTGTGCGTGTGTGTGCGTGTGTGTGTGTGTGTGTGTGTGTGTGCGTGTGTGCGTGTGTGTGTGTGTGTGTGCGTGGGCATGGCACGGGGGAGAGCAGGTGCAGGAGCGGCCGGCAGAGGGAGAGGAGGGAGCAGCAGCGCGGCTGAAGGAGTACGTGGAGGCAGCGGAGGCGATGGCGGTGGAGCAGAAGCAGAAGCTGGTGGACCGCGTGCACTCGCTGCAGTGGCTGCTGGGCGCCACCATCGCCCTCGCTGTCATCATCCCCGCCACCGCCTTTTATTCCTTCTTCACTGACGACTCGCATGCCACCCAGGTGTGCCTCCCATGCAATGCCACCCAGGTGTGCCTCCCATGCAATCCCGGTGTGCCTCCCATGCAATCCCGGTGTGCCTCCCACGCCACCCAGGTGCACCTCCTCTGCCAGCAGAGCAGGGCGTAATGCGTCATGTCATGTGATGCATGGCAGTGCTGGTGCATGGGTGCATGTGTAGAGGCGAGCAAGCAAGAGGTGACTCGTGGTGCCCCGTGGCAGGCAGCAGCAACGAGCGGGCAGAAGGTGACTTTGAGTCGACTCAAATGTGCCCCCCGCGTGCCCCATGTGCCCCTGTGTGCCCCCGTGTGCCCCATGGCACCCATGACAGGTGGAGATGCTACGGTCGCGCCTGGTAGCAGCAACGAGCGGGCGGCAGGAGCTGGAGAGTGCAGCAGTCAAGGCGGAGGCCAGCAAGCGGGCAGCAATGAGTGCAGTGCAGACGCTGGAGGAGGTGGTGGAGGCGCAGCGTGGGTCAGTGGAGCGGCTGCAGGCACTCATTCCGCTCGTGGCGCCCTCCATCCAGTCAGAGCAGGCGGCTCGCTTCTGTGAAAACGTGCCTATAGAGTACCAGTCTGCTGTCACCCAGCGCTTCTGCTCCGATATCGTGCCCCCTTCTGACGCTGCACCGGCCACTACCGCACAGGACACCTCCTGACCCACCACGTCAGCTGATGTTGATAAATAAAATGTCTCCCATGGATGTGCTTTGTACTGTATGTTGTGTAGATTTTACCGGTACCGTATGTCTGCAACATATACTGCAGAATTTTGCATGAAATGCTGCATCCTCTGACGTGAAGGAATGAAGCAACAATGCTACGGCAACAGGTTGTGCAACACTCGCATAATTGAGAAAATTGCGAGCATGCCGGGTGTGCCAGCAGCATGCGGTCGCATGCTGGGGCATACTCTATACAAACTGATCCGGAGTTACCGTACGATTATCTCGACTTGTCTCTGCTTTCTACTCGCTTCATTGCATCTGTCAACACAACACTTGCCCAGCTGTATGCTTCGCCCTGTCAATGCACAAAAAACAGGACAAAGAAACAAACACGAGCATGCATTTAGAGACGACAATGCAAAAACGCCTATCGATCCCACAAGACCAACCAAAGCCTAACTTCCATTCCCACATACAGTACACGTGCACATCCGAACCCAACCCGTTGTCAAAGGAACGGATACAACCGAGCCTGTTTAACGGGAACAACCAACACTCAGCAGGAACATGGACCTCGGTGGGAACATGGACCTCGGTGGGAACATGGACCTCGGTGGGAACATGGACCTCGGTGGGAACATGGACCTCGGTGGGAACATGGACCTTGTGACCAAACTGCACGTGCGTGGTGCTCATGTCCCTCTGTCCGACCTCACATACCACGGACGGCTGCTGTGATCAAACCTACACTTCTTGGATGGCCACGATCAGACCTCACACACCATGGACGGTCATGATCAAACCCCACCCACCATGGACGGCCATGATCCCGTGCGGATGCGTGCCCCTGAGCGAGTCAATGCGCTCTCATAGGGCGTCTGAGGCCGCGCCGCTTTCACCGCATCCCACTCCTCGCGACTCAGCGCCTCCAGCTCTTCCTGCTCCTCTGCAAATCGCCTCGCCCGCCGTGCTACTCTCCCTGTCTCCTTCGACTCGTCATACTGACGCCCACGAGGGTCAGGGGAGGGGAGAGGAGGGGAAGAGAGGGGAGAGGAGGGGAGGGAAAATGCAAAGTTGTAGGTGCAATGGCTTGCCTCGGCACTCTCTCTATCTCCTTGGATTCGTGGTACTGATGGCCTCACAGGGTCAGGGGGAGGGGAGAGGAGGGGAGGGGAAGACGCAAAGTGATAAGTGCAATGGCTTGCCATGCCACTCTCTCCATCTCCTTGGACTCATCATACGATAAGGGGCAGAGAGGAGCCGTTATGGCACAGGGTCAGACGTTAAGGGGCAGAGGGGAGGGGAGGAATAGGGGGTGAGGGATGGGAGAGGAGAAGATGCGCAGTGGCAGGTGGAAGGTCTCGCTGTACCATTCGATTTGTGGGTTGAGACATGGGACGAGGTGGGGAAAGAGATGAGTAGTAGAGGTGAGGGAGAAGAGCAGCAGAGAGGTGCCTCACGGTGGAGCAGCAGAGAGGTGCCTCACGGTGGAGCAGCAGAGAGGTGCCTGTGTGTGTTGTGACTGTGTGCGGACTGCCTCTGTGTGGTGTGACTGCATTGTGTGAACATCCGGGCACATTCCTTAACAGCATTTCCCTGTCTATGATCCAAATCCCTTCAGCAATATCACTCGCCACCACCCCACCTTAACCCACTCCCCATACCACTCCCCATACCACTCCCCATACCACTCCCCATACCACTCCCCATACCACTCCCCATACCACTCCCCATACCACTCCCCATACCACTCCCCATACCACTCCCCATACCACTCTCCATCGCATCCCACTCCGCACCGTGGCAACTTCACTCTCCACCACCACGGCCCATACCACTCCCCATCCCACCACGCACGAGCATGGCAGCACAGCCACCACCACCCACCATGCCCATGCCACTCATTCCCCATCCAACCCCTCATGCCCCTCCCCGTGGCAACCCTGCTTCACCATCCCCACGCACTCACGAGCATGGCCTGCACGGCCACCACCACCATGCACGCGCCCACTCACGCCCCATGCAGCGCCCATGCCCCTCCCCATGGCACCCCACGCGCACTCACGAACATGGCGAGCTTGGCCAGCACGGCCACCATCCCCATGCCCCATCCCCATGCCCCATCCCCATGCCTCATCCCCATGCCCCATCCCCATGCCCCATCCCCATGCCCCATCCCCATGCCCCATCCCCATGCCCCATCCCCATGCCCCATCCCCATGCCCCATCCCCATGCCCCATCCCCATGCCCCATCCCCATGCCCCATCCCCATGCCCCATCCCCATGCCCCTCCCTGTGCGCCAACCCAAATCCCTTCCCCATCCCCACGCCAGTTGTCAACGGAAAATATCCAGAAATACTTTCATTTTGTTACAAACTATATCACTCACGAGCATGGCGAGCTTGGCGAGCACGGCCACCACCACCATGCCCACGCCCAGCTGCAGCGTCGTCGTCGGCGGTCGCACCTCCCTCGATGCCTGCTGCACCCGCGACGCCGTGCCTCGCGCCATCACACCCCCCTGCTCCCCCTGCCCTGCTTGCGTCTCGCCTTGCCTGCCGCCTCCCCGCTCCTCGCGCTCCCCGCGCTTGGCCTGGCAGTCGCGACGGATCAAGGGGCGAGGGACGAAGGCATGAAGGGGAGTGCACGCGGTAATGACAGGGAGTGAACGGTGCAAGGGAGAGAAACGAAGGGGGAGAGGAGAGCTACGTGTGGCGCATCCATCCATCCGCCCATTACCCTCTCGACCCGCCTGTGCGTTCCTTACCTGCCCTCGACGCGGAAAGCGATGTGGCGCGAGTGAGGCGCGAGGCGCGATGTGAGAGGCGAAAGGCGGCAGGGCTTGAGGTGCCCCGCGGCTACGCGTGCGGCGAGGCACACGGCGAGCGATTCGCGCGACGTGCGGAGAAAGGAGAAGGGGGCGCGGAGAGCGCGCAAACACGGCGCGGAGCCCCCCGGAAAACTAGAGCGGAGCGGGAAATCTGAGGGAGCAGGGGTTGAGGCGTGAGGGCTGGCAATGTTCTTCAACAGGGTGGTACTGAACTCACACAAATCGTATGGGAACCGAGTCAGGAATCAACATATCATTACTTCGCGTCACCCTACATCGCTTACAACAGTGTACACTCTGTTCATGACCATTTCCACCCCGTTCTCAAATCGCTGAGAATATGCCGCTGAGGATCGCCTGCCTCTCGAACAGCTCCGCCACTTTAGTGGGTGAGGGGAGACCTGCCGGCGAGGAATTTTCTTCCCTGGTTCTTGCTGGGCCTTCGCCGAGCCTGAGAGCCTTGTGTGCAACCAAAAATCTTCTTCCACAAGTGTCGAAGGTCCATTCGCCATCACGCCCAAGCCAGAAACAGGTGGCAGTTGGTTGGTTCCTCAATCGTGGGAGTGAAACTCGCATTCTCAGGGCCAGTCCAGCACGTTCGTCCTTCATTCGTTTTGTGCGGTTACTCCTGTTGTGTCACGGTGCAAAACGGTGAAGCTTGATAACCGTTGTGCACCGTCTGGAATCGTCTTGCGCCACGACGTATGGACTGAAATCGAACGTGCTGGACCAGCCGTCACACATTCCTTTCCAACAGCATTAGCATTTTGACTCTTCATTTTTTCGAATTATTCTGTAATTCCGTCTCAGACATCCTCGTTGCCTTCAAGCTATGGCACCACTCACCTTAGAGCTGTCGGAGGGGCATGGCGCCGTGCTGTTGGTGGCAGCGGCAACAGCAATCGTTCATATTTTTTTCGCCGAAGTCGTGATGTTCGCGAGAAAGAAGTAAACATGCTGAACATAAATTCTGTATCAACTGTTAAGCAAATGTGCTGCAGCTTGTTAACAACGTTAACTATGCGCGTGAATTTTCTTCGTATGGTTGCAGGTACAACGTCCAATTCCCGCTTCTGTACGCGCCTGAGTCTCACAAGAACAACAAGGAGTTCAACTGCGTACAGGTACGACAATCATGTGCATGCGCTCGAAAACATGGTTTGTTGAACATATTTCCGCGCCTGTTGAGAAACAGACGCCATTCTGGAGAAGGAGGATTTGCTGGTCTTTATTTCTTATGATTTTTTCCACATCTTGCATCGCAGAGGGCGCATCAGAACTTTCTCGAGAATATTTCGTTTTTCTTTGCGTTCCTCCTCACCAGCGGCCTTGCGGTAAGCTTTCCTCGCCTGCCAGTGGCTCTGCTCCCACCACACCACATGCTGGCTGCTCTTCCTGGATTTCCTGCTTCACGCATTGTGTCCTCACAACCTGCCTGTCTCATTTAACGCCGCCTCCCTTCGCAGTACCCCTGGACATCCACAGTTCTTGGGGTTATCTTCCTGCTTGGCCGCATTGTCTATTTCCTTGGTTACTCCACTGGGAGCCCAGCGGCACGAAATTATGGAGCGTAAGAATACCCATGCGCCCAGGCCACCTTGCACCCCCCGTTCCCCCTCACTCTCTTCCCTCGCTCGCTTCCCCCTCTTTCCTGCCTCTCCCTTTTCCCCCACCGTCCTCGCATCTCTTTTTTTCTATCTCGCCCCCATTTTATTGCTTTAAATCAGCAGATTTCACATCCCACCTGCCTTTCAACTTTCAAGCGATGTGCCTGCTCTACTTGCAGATTTTGGACGATTGGACTTCTTGGGCTCATGATTGGCACCATTATGTTCGGTCTTCGGGTCCTCGGTGTCATCTCAGCATGAGTACATGATGTGCATACCCCCGTCTATTTATAACGAGAACCCTATTGTTGCCGGAGTAAATTGTAGAGAGCGCTCCTGTTGTAGAATCTGGATATACTGTAGCTGATCGATCAACTACGTCCTCTTATGGTGCAAACTGAATTAGTTTCTAGACTCGTCGTTACTTTCTGCTAGCTTCATTGCATCTGTCAACACAACGCTTGCCCAACTGTATGCTTCGCCCTGTCAAAGCACAAAAAACTGGAAAGAGAAGAAATTCAAGCATGCATTTGGTGACAAAATGCAATTCACCATACATTCCCCACAAGTCCCACCAAAGCCTAACCTCCACTCCTGCATACGGTACATGCGCACATCCAAGCCCCGTTATCAGCCAATCCCACTGAGTCAACTCAAACACAGTAAGCGGGAGCACGGGCGCACGACTGTGGTATCACAATAGTAGTTAGAATGAAGGAGCCATAGCTAGGGTTTAGCTAGCTAGGCAAGAGAGAATAGTCAAAAGAGGAGAAGAGCATTTGACTAGAAAGGAGGGAGGTACTGTCACAGTAGTAGGCAGAACGAGGAGCCATAGCTAGGGTTTAGCTAGCTAGGCAAGAGGAAATGAGCAAATGAGGGTTTGACTAGAAAGGAGGGAGGTACAAATAGCAAGCCCTAACAGGGTTATACTCACTATTGAGTACCCCACTACACACTAGATAAGCATTATATTCTGACAGGTACAAATAGCAAGCCCTAAAAGGGTTATACGGTACTCACTACGGTATTGAGTACCCCACTATAGACTAGACAGGCATTATATTCTGACATACCCCCATAGTCAAGGTGGGGTAAAATCAGCACAACAAGCACGCAGAGCAATAGGTCACAATGATAAGCAAAGCTAGATGCTATCACAGAGGGCAAGTGAGGAGGAGGAGAGACTTTGAGAGGAGTGGAGATAGAAGGCTGTCAAACATATGTTTATATGTTATAGTTTAGGCAGGCTTTAGTGGGGTACTCACTGTGGGGTACAACCCCTTAGGTTTCACTTTTGTACCAAAACCTTCTCGATAGTTCATCCATCCCTACCACCCTACTCTAACATGGTATTAAGAGCACTTAGGACTTATGACCTAATTTCCTAGTGGGCCCACCGTTACCTCTCTTTTTTTTAGGGTTTCCCCTGTCTGTCGAGCTGTCCCACCCGTCGCGCCGCCCTGCTGGCCGCGCGACGCGCGTTTATTTTTATTTTTCTTCGTTTTTTCTCGTCACGCCGCCCTAGGGCCCGGCCCCGCCCGTCGCGTCGCCTTAGGGCCTTCGCGCCGCCCACGGGAGCCAGTCGCGCTGCCCTGCTGGCAGCGCGCGACCCCGCCTGGCCCGTCGCGCACCTGTAGGGCCCGCGAGCCGCCCTTCCCTGCCCGCCGCGCCGCCCCTTTTTTGGCAGCGCGCGGCTCGGCCCCGCCCTCGCGCACCCCTACGGCCCTCGTGCCGAGCTCTACCCGCTGTTGCGGCCTCGCCCTGCCCCAACGTCGCCCCTGGAGCAGCCGCCCCTGGACCCAGAGCAGCCGCCCCTGGCTCCTGAAGCAGCCGCCCCTGGTGCAGCCGCCCCTGGACCCTGAGCAGCCGCCCCTGGACCGAGAGCAGCCGCCCCTGGCCCCTGCAGCAGCCGCCCCTGGTGCAGCCGCCCCTGGACCCAGAGCAGCCGCCCCTGGCCCCTGCAGCAGCCGCCCCTGGTGCAGCCGCCCCTGGACCGAGAGCAGCCGCCCCTGGCCCCTGAAGCAGCCGCCCCTGGTGCAGCCGCCCCTAGACCCTCGAGCAGCCGCCCCTGGACCCAGAGCAGCTGCCCCTGGCTCCTACAGCAGCCGCCCCTGGACCCTGAGCAGCCGCCCCTGGCCCCTGCAGCAGCCGCCCCTGGTGCAGCCGCCCCTGGACCCTTGAGCAGCCGCCCCTGGACCCAGATCAGCCGCCCCTGGCCCCTGAAGCAGCCGCCCCTGGTGCAGCCGCACCTGGACTCCGTGCAGCCGCCCCTGGACCCTGTGCAGCCGCCCGCCGAGCGCCGGCCCTGCTCGCCCAGCGAGCGCCTTCTCTTCCCGCCACTGGTGAGCACCTGCCTTGTTAGCGCATTGCCTGCCTGCCTGCCTGCCGCGCCTGCCCCGCCCACCTGCCTGCCTGTCTGCCGGCCTGCCTGCCTACCTGCCTGCCTGCCTGCCTGCCTGCCTGCCTGCCTGCCTGCCTGCCGGCCTGCCTGCCTGCCTGTCGGCCTGCCTGCCTGCCCGCGCTGCTACTGCTACTGCTGCCGCTACTTCTGTTACTGCTGCTAGGCTGCTGCTGCTGCTACTGCTGCGATGCAGCTCCAGCGCCGTCCGCGCGAGTCTCTCACGCCCCAGCAGCTTCGTGAGTGGTACGCTAGTTGGGGTTGTGGCGGTAGCCGTCGTGGCTGTAGCCCTGGAGCTGGTCCGTTGGGAGCGTCTGGCAGTGGCCAGCCGCAGCTGCAGCGGCGTTCGCAAGAGACACTTACGTCCCGGCAGCTTCACGAGTGGTACGCTCAGAGTAGAGGGTCTTTGAGTCCAGTTCGCTGCTTGTACGTCATTCGCACAGGTGATCGGACTGGTCAGGCTTGCAGGACGCCTGGTCACACACAGTCCCGCTGCTTCGCCCGTCTGAGCGACGCCTGGCGTACCGAGTTTGGCGACGAGGCTGAGCTCCCCACCTGGCTGGAGCTGCTTGGACAGAGGGTAGATATCTTTGCTCTTGACTATGATGCTATTCTCACTGCCATGTATGCATTGCCTACTAGTGCCGACCGTGCCTGTTACCTGTGCGTACCACCTGACCCAGGTATAGAGCCTGCTGCTCTAGGTGCTGGTGAGGCTACTGCTCTAGGTGCTAGTGCGTCTCCTGCTCCAGGTGCTGGTGAGGCTACTGCTCTAGGTACTGGTGAGTCTGCCCTCTCTGGTACTGCGCTTGCTGAGGCCTTGTACACCTTCACACTTGACTCCGGTGCCTCTCGCTCTTTCTTTCGCGACAGCACCACCCTCACGCCGCTCAGTCGGCCGGTTCCAGTCTCCCTGGCAGACCCCTCTGGGGGTCCAGTCCGTGCGACCTCCTCCACTGTCCTCCCTTGTCCTACTGTCCCGTCCGGCACACTGTCGGGTCTTTACCTCCCCTCGTTCTCTACGAACTTGGTGGCGAGTTCAGCGCTCCAGGACGCGGGTGTTCACCACTTCACCCCTGCCTACGGCGTGTGATACACTGCACGTGTGCTCAGACGGGTCGTCACCTGGCTATCTTCACTCGGCAGTCGGGGTCGGGCCTGTACACACTGACCACTGAGTCCCCTCAGGTAGCTGTGTCTGCGTCTGCGTCAGGTCAGTTGTCGGCCCCCTGCTCGTGTCGCGCCTTGTCGCACCAGACCCTCCTTTGGCACCACCGCCTTGGTCACCCCTCGGTGCAGCGCCTTCGCAGCATGCACCGCCGTGTCCTTGTCTCTGGTCTTCCCAGGGTTCTCCCTCCCCTCCCACCCTCGCCTGCTCCTCCCTGTCTTCCCTGTGTCGAGGGGCGACAACGCGCCGCTCCTCACTCCTCCTCGTTCCCTCCCACAGAGGCTCCCCTGCAGACTCTCCACCTGGACGTGTGGGGCCCAGCCCGCGTCCGTGGACAGGGCCACGAGCGGTACTTCCTGCTGGTCGTCGACGACTACACGCGTTACACCACGGTCTTCCCTTTGCGCACCAAGGGTGAGGTCCCTGATGTTTTGATCCCTTGGATCCGCGCTGCTCGTCTCCAGCTCCGCGAGCGGTTCGGGACGGAGTTTCCCGACCTTCGTCTGCACTCTGACAGAGGTGGTGAGTTCTCCTCAGACCTCTTGGCAGCCTTCTGTGCGGAGCACGGCATCCGCCAGACGTTCACGCTTCCGGCCTCTCCGCAGCAGAATGGGGTTGCTGAGTGCCGCATTGGCTTGGTCATGGAGGTCGCTCGTACCTCCATGGTCCATGCGGCTGCCCCCCATTTTCTGTGGCCGTTTGCGGTCCGCTGCGCCGCGCATCAGCTCAACCTCTGGCCCCGTGTCTCCTTGCCGGAGACCTCGCCCACACTGCTGTGGACGGGGAAGGTTGGCGATGCGTCGCGTTTCCGGGTCTGGGGTGCTCGTGCCTTTGTCCGCGATTCCACCGCGGACAAGCTCTCTGCCCGCGCTGTTCCCTGTGTCTTCCTTGGCTTTGTCCCTGACGCGCCTGGTTGGCAGTTTTACCACCCCACCTCGCGCCGTGTCTTCCCCTCTCAGGACGTCACGTTCGACGAGTCGGTTCCCTTCTACCGTCTCTTCCCCTACCGCACTGCCCCTCTCCCCCCACCGCCGCTCTTCCTCGCTCCAGGTGCTCCCCAGGTAGACCCCCTCCCCGCTCCCGGTCCTGCTCCTTCAGGTGTGTCTCAGGTAGACCCTCCTCCATTGACTGCCCCGGTTGAGGTCACTGGTGACTCAGGTCCTGCTGAGGGTGGTCCTGCTCGGGGTACTGCTTCTGGGGGTGCGGAGCCTGGGGGTGCGGAGACTGGAGGTGCTGAGCCTGGGGGTACTGAGTCTGGGGGTGCTGCACCTGGGGGTGCTGAGGCGTCTGGTGAGCAGTCTCCCTGGGGCGGCCGTCTCCGTAGTCGCTCTACTAGTACCTCGCCGCTGCACTCTCGTCGTCGACTCCCTCTCTCCCCACAGCAGTTGCGTGAGTGGTACGTTGGCCGTCAGGGTCGCGCTGCTGGGGCTAGGGGCTCTGCTGCGGGAGGCGCTGGTGCTGGTGACTCTGCTACTGGGGTAGTTTCTGCTGGAGGTTCTGGAGCTGCTGCGGGTGCTGGCGCTGGAGGTTCTGGAGCTGCTGTGGGTGCTGGCGCTGGAGGTGCTGGAGCTGCTGCGGGTGCTGGCGCTGAGGGTTCTGAGTCTGCTGTTGCGCGGTCTCCTTGGAGTAGCCGCCTTCGTCCGCGTGTGCATCTCACCTCACAGCAGCTGCACGACTGGTACGGTCGCCGTCAGGGTCGCGCTTCTGGAGCTCGGGGCTCTACCGCTGGAGGTACTTCTGCTGGCGTCACTGGAGCTGGGAGTGGTGCTGGTCCCGGAGGTGCTCGTACTGGAGGTACTGGAGCTGCTGGGGCTGGAGGTGCTGAGCCTGAGGGTACTACTGCTGGAGACCCTGGGTCTGGGGGTGCTGCTACTGGAGACACTGAGACTGGAGACCCTGGGACTGGAGGTGCCGGTTCTAGGGGTGCTGCTGCTGGTGGAGCTGGTCCTGGACGAGCTGGTGCTGAGGGTTCTGGAGCTGCTGGAGGTGCTGGAGCTGCTGGGGGTGCTGGAGCTGCTGGTGCTGGTGGCGCTGCACAGTCGCGCCTGTTCTTTGCTCCATCGTCTCCGTCGTCTCAGCCACCGTCTGACTCTTTACTTCGCCAGGTTCTTAGTCTCCCTTCGTCTACTGGTCTTCCGTTACAGCCTGGCTCACCGCTGCCTGCTTCTTCTCCTTACACTGAGCAGTCAGGGGGTTTTACTGAGCGTCGTGAGCCTGCGTCGCGTCCTGTCTCACCTGTCCGTTCTGGTCGTCGTGTTCCTCGTTCGCGTCAGCCGGTTGTCCCCGGCACCCACCTCGTAGTTCGTCATCCTTCCTCTCCTCTGCAGCGTGTTCCCCTGCCGTCCCCCCCTGCGTCTTCTCTGCCTACCGTTCCTGAGCCTGAGTCTGACCGCACCCGTGCTGCTCACCCTACTGTCACGCGTCTGCTAGCCACTGTTGTGACTGACCCGTCGTTTGAGTCTGCTGCTGCGTCTGCCTTTGTTGCTGAGCTTGTTGACTTTGCTGCTGCCTGTCGTCTAGACTACGCCGCTAGTCTTGTTGCTGAGTCTGAGTCTGTCTGTCCTCCGTCCGTCGGGGGTGAGTGTGCTCTTGGCACGGACGTCCTTGAGGACAGGCAGGAGGACCTTGAGTGTCTTGCAGCCGCTGCGCCTCATCTCGTGTCCATGCTGCTTGCCCCTGAGGGAGACCCGGATGCTCCAGACATCCCGACCCTGCGCTCTTACGCTGAGGCGATCGCGGGTGAGTACTCCTCTCAGTGGCAGACAGCCATGGACGCAGAGATGTCATCCTGGAAGTCCACAGGCACCTACGTCGACGAGGTTCCCCCTCCTTGGGCGAACATCGTCAGTGGCATGTGGATTTTCAGGGTGAAGCGGCCGCCAGGTTCTCCGCCTGCCTTCAAGGCTCGTTACGTTGCTCGAGGCTTCAGTCAGCGACAGGGAGTTGACTTCTTCCAGACCTTCTCCCCTACTCCGAAGATGACCACTCTTCGGGTGCTGCTGCACGTTGCCGCTCAGCGTGACTACGAGCTTCACTCTCTTGACTTCAGCACAGCTTTCTTGCAGGGCAGCCTGCACGAGGAGATCTGGCTGCGCCGCCCTCCTGGCTTCACTGGGTCGTTTCCTCCTGGTACCCAGTGGAGCCTCCGGCGGCCGGTCTACGGTCTCCGTCAGGCGCCACGTGAGTGGCACGACACACTGAGGACTACACTTGCAGCTCTTGGGTTCGTGCCTTCTACTGTTGACCCGTCGCTGTTTCTACGCACCGACACTTCGCTGCCGCCGTTCTACATCCTTGTGTACGTCGACGACTTGGTCTTTGCCACTGCTGACACTGAGGCTCTCGCCCTGGTGAAGTCGGAGCTGCAGAAGAGACACACGTGCACAGACCTGGGTGAACTGCGCAGCTACCTTGGCTTGCAGATCACCCGGGACAGAGCACGCCGCACCATCACACTGACTGAGTCACACATGGTGCAGCAGGTCCTTCAGCGCTTCGGCTTCATCTGGTCCTCGGCACGGCCGACTCCTCTGGCTACAGGTCACTCGCTCTCAGCTCCACCTTCGGACGAGTCCGTAGAGCCGAGTGGTCCTTACCCAGAGCTAGTTGGCTGCCTCATGTACCTGATGACTTGCACTCGTCCTGACCTCGCGTACCCTCTTGGCCTTCTGGCTCGCTACGTGGCTCCTGGTCGGCACCGAAAGGTGCACATGGATGCTGCTAAGAGAGTACTCCGCTACTTGTGCAGTACATCAGGCATGGGGCTCATGCTTGGAGGGAGGAGCTCAGTTGTTCTCACTGGGCACTCAGACGCTTCTTGGGTTGACGACCAGGCTACTCAGCGGTCGTCACAAGGTTACACATTCAGCCTTGGCTCTGGTTCAGTTTCTTGGCGTTCTACACGTTCGTCTTCAGTTCTCAGCTCCAGCTGTGAGGCTGAGATCTACGCCACAGCCATGGCTGCACAGGAGTTACGCTGGCTCACCTACCTGCTGACCGACTTGGGAGAGCGGCCTCGTTCTCCTCCAGTGCTGTACGTCGACAACAAGGCTGCCATTGCCTTGTGTGAGGAGGACAGACTGGAGCACAGAACGAAGCACATCGCTCTGCGTTACTTCCTGGCTCGAGAGTTGCAGCAGCGTGGTCAGCTTCGTCTGCGTTACGTAGCCACTCAGGCCAACGCTGCTGATATATTCACCAAGGCACTTCAGTCTGGTGATCATCAACGTTTCTGCACTATGCTAGGGCTTGTGCCCACTTTTCCTCACTTGCTGTAGGCTTTGCTTGTACTGAGATCTATATATATATATATATCTATCTGCATGCTTGCTTTGCTAGGTAGAGATCACTGTGATGTTTGTGTTACATATATGCCTCTGCATGTGAACTGGCCTTGTGGCCCCTTTCTTGTGCTCAGTGTGTGTGGTGACGTTGTGATCCACCCTGAGCTTGCTTTGCCTTTCTTGACTGGTCTTGTGACCCCTTGCTCTTCCCCACTTTGCCTATGGGGGTGTGTCAAACATATGTTTATATGTTATAGTTTAGGTAGGCTTTAGTGGGGTACTCACTGTGGGGTACAACCCCTTAGGTTTCACCTTTGTACCAAAACCTTCTCGATAGTTCATCCATCCCTACCACCCTACTCTAACAAAGGCGACGGGTCAAGCCGCAGTCACACGGGCAACAGGAGCGCGCGCACGGTGGCTACCGGAGCACTCAACCTCCGGACTACAGGAGTATCTGGCTCCGCGCTAAGACGAGCAGCAGGAGCAACGGACCCACGGACGACTGGCGCAGCAGGCTCGCTGGGCTACCGGAGCACTCAACCTCCGGAATACTGGCGCTGCTGAAGTCACAACGGCTACCTCCGGTCAACCTCCCCCAACTGTCCCACCCCTTTTCACACACCCCCTGCTGTACCCCTAGCTCCACTCCCACGTCACCCCCCTAGCACCACTCCCTCGGCTCCCACACACCCACCCCCCTCAGCGGCAGCTGCAGCAGTGGGAGACGGGGGAGGAGGAGGAGCAGGGGACGGCGCACACACACGCCACACCCATACCCGTCACCCCCATACCCTGAGTGTGCGGTAAGCAAGCTCAGGTGTGCGCGAAGCGTGCACATGCGTGCGGGAAGCGAACTCAGGAATGCGGAAAGCGAAGTCAGGTGTGCGGGGAGGGGGGGCCGCAGGGCGACGCGCGGGTTGACGGGGACGAGCGCACGGGCCCCCGGGGGCGGCGCACGGGTCGACGGGGCCGCCGCGAAGGGCGACGAGGAGCCGCGCGCGGGTCGACGGGGAGCCGCGCGCGGGTCAACGGGGCCGCCGCGAAGGGCGACGGGGAGCCGCGCGCAGGTCGACGGGGACGGGCGCGCGGGTCGACGGGGGGCGCCGCGACGGAACGCGAAACCACCGCGCGCGGCCAGGGTGCGCGGCGGGCAGGAAACCGCGACGCGTCCCGAGCGCATGGCGGGCAGAAAACCGCCACGCACCCCGAGCGCGTGGCGGGAAGAAAAAATGAACATCGCACGCCACGGGGCGCGAGACAGACAGTATGGCAGCGGAAGCAGGCGGTCCCACAGGCCAGGAGCGTAACCGCTCTGATAGCATGTCACAATAGTAGTTAGAATGAAGGAGCCATAGCTAGGGTTTAGCTAGCTAGGCAAGAGATAATAGTCAGAAGAGGAGAAGAGCATTTGACTAGAAAGGAGGGAGGTACAAATAGCAAGCCCTAAAAGGGTTATACTCACTATTGAGTACCCCACTACAGACTAGACAAACATTATATTCTGACATGTGGTGCTTTTAACACAGTCAGATCTCGTATACCGTGGAGTGGACCGCTATGATCAAACCTACTTTTCATGGACGGCCATGATCAAACCTCACACACTGTGGATGGCCAAAAACATAACATACCATGGACAAACATACCATGGATGAACAAACATACCATGGACAGCCATGATCAAACCCCACCCACCATGGACGGCCATGATCCCGTGCGGATGCGTGCCCCTGAGCGAGTCAAGGCGCTCTCATAGGTCGTCTGAGGCCGCGCTGCCTTCACCGCATCCCACTCCTCCCGACTCAGCGCCTCCAGTTCCTCCTGCTCCTCCGCAAACCGCCGTGCCCGCCGCGCCACTCTCTCTGTCTCCTTCGACTCGTCGTACTGATGAACACACAGGGTCGAGGGGGAGCGGGAGGGAAGGAGGAAGGAGAGGAAGTGGGAGGTGAGAGGAAGATGCAAAGGGAAGGGTGCAATGTCCCGCCGCGCCACTCTTTCCGCCTGCTTGTTGAGAGAGAAGAGCAGAGCACCGGCCGGGAGGTGCCTGCATGGACGAGTTACACCCATAACTGACTGATATTACTCGAGAGGAGAAAAACCGGAAGACTGAGAATTGGAAGATGTGAATTCAAAGCGGGACAAGGTGCTTTCAGAACAGCGGGCGAGGCGGCTGTACTGCCCCCCCAACACTGCACGCGCATCAGTGTGATGAGGGAATGAAAGGGGGGAGCTTAGCAAGCACGGCCAACACCACCACCCACCATGCCCCTCCCACTCCCTTCACATTTAACGTCCCTTCCCCATCCCCACGGCACTCACAATCATGGCGAGCTTGGCGAGCACGGCCACCACCACCATGCCCACGCCCAGCTCCAGCGTCGTCGGCCGCGGCTCCACTGCCTGTTGCACCACCCGCGACGCCACGCCTCGCGCCATCACGGCCTTCACAGACTTCCCTGCCTTGCTTACGTCACGCCTCGTGCATTGCCCACTCCTCGCACTCGCTAGCCCGCGCTCGGCCTAGCAAAAGGTCACAAAATTCGGACTCGTTGCCTGGCAAGAAAGTTCACGAAATTCAGACTTCTCACAGCAAGCCAAGGGTCTAGTCAAAAGCGATCCTCGCACACATTGCCCCGCGGTCGGCCTGGCAGTCGCGACGGATCAGCGGGGGAGGGACGGATGCAGTTGTGATGACTCATCGGAAGGATGAAGGTGCAGGCGGAACTGCAGATGCGGCAACGGCAGGGAGTGAACGGCGAGCGAGAGGAAAGCCACGGGCGACGCATTTATCCACCCATTTCCCCCCCAACCCACCTTTGCCTTCTTCCCACCTTTGTCTTCTTCCCACCTTTGCCTTCTTCCCACCTTTGCCTTCTTCCCACCTTTGTCTTCTTCTCGCCTTTGCCTTCTTCCACCTTTGTCTTCTTCCCACCTTTGCCTTCTTCCCACCTTTGTCTTCTTCCCACCTTTGTCTTCTTCCCACCTTTGCCTTCTTCCCTGCCCTCGGTTCTCCTTCCCCCTGCCGCTGCCGCTCAACAAGCCTGGTGGCGCGGAAAAGAAGGTTTTGGGAAGGATCGGCGGTTGCGAGGAGCGAGAAGAGGAGCGGCGAGTGGCGCGGGGAGGATAGCGGCAAGGAGACGAGAGGCGGGTGAGGGGGGAACGATGCGATAAGCGATGTGGCATGGGTGACGAGAGAAACGGCAGTCCCAGCGAGCCTTGTGGTGATGCAACGAGGCGTGTTGGGTGGCACTGCACACAAAGAGCGGATCGCGCTAGTGCGGAGATAGGACAGTGCGAAAATAGGGCGAAGAGCGCGGAGGAAAACAGAAGCGGCGCGGGAACTGGGGCTTGGCAAGAGAGCAGAGACGGGAGAGAATCAAGGGCGGCGCGGGAACTGGGGCAAGGGCAGTATACAGGGCTGCACGTTTGGTATTTTGGTGTGGGAAAATTGGAGGCTGTTTGGTTTTAGGACTGATATTTTCTTTGAACTGTAGTCAAGACTTTAATCGAATCTGATTCATTCGAGTACGCTTTAAACATTCGAATTGTGCGCGACGCGGCCGGTGTGAACAAACCTTCCACCTCAAGCTCCTTCACTTCGACTTTCATCACAGCCTCTTCCATCCCAAGCCATTGAACAATGGCCCTGTTCGGTAGCCCCCACAGTCACACTGCGGTTGGTGCAGGTGCTCTTCCTCGGCCCAATTTCGACTCACCTTAAAACCCACCGAACCGTTATTAGAACACCATACCTGCCCAGTGCAAATTGGCTACCGAACGCGTGAAAAACCCAGCCCGAGTGAAGTTGAGGACGCTACCACGAAAATGCTTGCTCAGGCAAGCTCGACCGCCAGTGAAAGTCAACCCCATTTCTGCTTTCCAGTTCCACTCAGGCAGGCCCACTCTGAGGTTGTATTCCGAAGTTGGGACACCATCCGAAGTGGGGACACGCGACTCGCAATGTCGAAAATGTGCTCAAATGTTCCGCCACGCGGTTCGGAGATTGGACACCTTGTACCCGCCAGACACGAAAAATGCGACTGTCAAGTCCGTCACTCTGCGACCCCGACGATCGTGCCATGTAGGGGTGTTTTTCAGTTACGACTGTTGATAAGATGCATGTTATAGTGTATTATGTCCTCAAAAACAAAATGTAGGGGTGTTTTGAGTACACCGCACTGCGGGGCCCACGAACTAAACTCCCGCCGTCTTTCACGGAACTGCCCGATCGGTTGTTTCTCGGTCACATTGTTTTCCCTCACCCGCCAAAGTCAGAGATGGTCGTTTACATTTGTCGCGCTGTGATTGGGAGCGAAGGCAATCTGCGCTGCAACCGTCAGGCGATTCCGACAAAAGTGGTCGCAACGCTAAAATTCGTCACATGTCCGAACTGGGGCCACACCCCACATGGACACCATCTTACCCCAAAAAGTGCTTCTGCTGGGGTAACTTCGATGGTGTCCCAACTTCGGAATACAATCTGAGTGGCACGCTGTAGGGTAAACGCTGCATTAGCTTCGAATCGGGTCAAATTATGTTTTTCAGCTCGCTCGTTCAAACGATGAGAGATCGTGCCCGTTCGTGGTTTTCTTTTATCCATATCGAGGGTGTTTCATTTGGCGGGCTGTTTTTTGTTTGTGAGCTGGGCAGCCTCGTACAGAAGTAAAAGTTTCGACCAGTATTTTTTCGAGAAACACGCGGTAACTTCTTGCGTTTGTGGACGAGACTTCCTTTCAGTGTGAGTGGACGCCCGAGGCTACGAAACATTTCGTAGGCTTCCCCAGTTCGAGTGGGCCCAGTGTGACTGGAAGGCTACCGAACAGGGCCAATGCTTTCTTATTTTCTCAAAACTAGATAAACTCGAGTTCCGTGACTATTGTCGCGAGGCGGCCTGGTTCATGGAGTAGTCCGCATAATAGGAGCCCTTTTTTTTTTTTTCCAGTCGAGGAGGCGAACAGCACGCGCGAGGTTACGGTCCTTGAGAGGGTGTCTTGTAGGAGTTTACGAGCCGCAAAAGATGCCCGGCGCGACGCTGACGGACACGCGTCCATCGATGGACGGCTTGCTCCACGGCGTCGCCAGCGGCGGTGCTGGCGACCCTCCGGTGGCGATTGCGACCTTCGAGGTTTCGCGAAAGACTCTCGCCGGTGCAGACGACCGCCGCGATACGGCGAGTGAGATCGCCGGATCGCCGACGATCACCGGCGGCGACGGCGCTTCACCAGAGAATGAGGCGCGCTGTGAGTCGACGCCAGCAGCAGCGGGAAGTCCCGCCGATGCCGTTGCAGACGGTATGGAACCTGATAATGCTGCAGAAGCGGCAGGATCAGCGGAAGGAGCAGGAGTAGCACCAGCAGAAGCAGCACCAGTGGCAGCAGCAGAAGCACCAGCAGAAGCACCAGCAGAAGCACCAGCAGAAGCACCAGCAGAAGCATCAGCGGAAGCACCAGCAGAAGCATCAGCGGAAGCATCAGAAGCAGCACCAGTGGCAGCAGCAGCAGCGACGGGCGTTGGCTTGGCGGCGGGTGAGTCGGCTGAGCGGCGCGACGGCGGTTCAGGCGAGGGGATTGGCGGCTGGTGGGGCAGGCGAGCCGCGGAGAGCGGCGAGTCGGCGGGGAAGGATTCGTGCAACGATTCCGACGATTCGGTGGCGAGCGACTGGAACGGCTGGCGAGCGGAGAAGGCGGCGACGGATGGCGAGCACGTGCCGTATGATGGTGAAAAGGTGGGGACTCGTGGTGAAAAGGCGGCGACAGATGGCGAAAAGGAAGGGAAAGGTAACGAAGAGAAGGCAGCAGATGGTGAAAAGGAAGGGAACAGTGGCGAACAGAAGGCGACAGATGGCGAAAAGGTGGGGAAAGGTGGCGAAGGGGCGGCGACGGGAGGAGGTGCGGCGAGACGACAGAGGAAGACGGCGGAGGCTGCTGCAGCCGCCATGAAGCGGAAGGTACGGCGTCGGGGAATGGTTGAGACGGTGAGGCGAATAAAACTCTCCGGTTCGATTTAACGGCGACAACGAAGCTGTCGCGTCGCAACTGACGTCGCCCTACCGCACTCCAGTTGTCCCCGCACATGTCTCTGTCGCCTCGGCTGACTCTTTCGCGTGTCTCTGTCGCAGGAGGATCGCGAGCGTCGCAGAGAATCAGCTGACCTCCTGGCGACGTCGCAACGACTTCTTCGCGGTTAGTGCAGAGAATGCACGCCTATCAGGCCCCCTTGACGCACACACATGCACATGCACATGCACGCAGAAGCAATATCGCCTTGCCATGCCGTGCCATTCCAATCCCTCCTGACCACTGCCCCGCCCCGCCCCGCCCTGCTCTGCCTGCTCTGCCCCGCCCCGCCCTGCGGCCCTACCCTGCCCTGCCCTGCCCTGCCCCGCCCTCCCCTGGCCCGCCGTCCACCATGCACCAGAGAGCAGTGTGAAGTTCACGCGGCCACGCCTGGCAGCCATCTCGCTTGGCGGCTTCTTCACCTCCATGCGCGCGCGCATGGCGCTGCTGGATGCGCGCATGCCGCGGTGAGTCATGGATGGGGATAGGTGGGAGTTGGGGGTTGGGGGGATGGGGGATGGGGATAGGCGGCTTCTTCACCACCGTACGCGCGCAGGGCGCTGCTGGATGCAAGCATGCGCGGTAGGTGGGGGATGGGTGCACGCAATGTACGTGGGTGATGGGTGGTTCGGGGGATGGGTGACGGGATACGTGATGGGATGGATGATGGGGTATGGGCGGTGGGCAATTGGTGAGGGGGGATGGGCGGTGGGCAATTGGTGAGGGGGGATGGGCGGTGGGCAATTGGTGAGGGGGGATGGGCGGTGGGCAATTGGTGAGGGGGGATGGGCGGTGGGCAATTGGTGAGGGGGGATGGGCGGTGGGCAATTGGTGAGGGGGGATGGGCTCACATGCTGCCTTGTCTTGCCTTCTGCCGCGTCCTCTGCAACCTCCCCCATGCCCATTCCCCCCCGTTCTCCCTGCAACCTCTGACTGCTGTCTGATGCTATTGCTGGGCTTTGAGCAGCCTCGAACCTCATTCCGGGTGGGTCATGTTGTGCTAATGCATCTCACTGTGCGTTGTGTTTTCTACGTGTCCCCATTCCCTACCCTCCTCGCCCTGCATGCATCGGACAGAGAAACGGAAGAGGAGGACGAGGAAGATGAGATGGATGACGAGGATGATGACGTGGACGGTGAGGATGATGACGTGGACGGAGAGGATGATGACGTGGACGGAGAGGCGGAGGAGGAGGATGAGAAGCCCAAGGCAGGGACGAGCGGGCGAGGAGAAGGGGAGAATGCCAGGGGCGGCAGTGTCAGTGGCGATGCTGCTGCTGTGTCGAGTGGTCTGATCGCCGACATGCTGCACCGCTTCGCACAGGAGGAGGAGGAAGGCGATGAGGAGGATGATGAGCTTATCGTGCTTGAATGCTCCGCTCCTGCTGCTGCTGCCACTGCGACAGCAGGAGGGGCAGCAGGAGCGGCAGCAGGAAAAGATGCAGATGAGAAGGGAAAGGGGGAGGAGAAGGGAGAGGTGGAAGGCGAGTGTGCTGTGAAGCAAGGGGCCCAGGCAGGAAGGGAGGCGCGGATGAACCGTGGAGAATACGAGGCTAGGGACGACGAGGCTAGGGTCGACGACACAATGAGGGCCATGTGGGAACAGGGTGGGGAGGGAGGGAAGAGAGAGAAGTGGGGAACGGGGGAGAAGGGGGATAAAGGAGAGAAGGGGGAGAAGGGAGACAAAGGGGGAACGGGGGAGAACCGGGACAAGGGAGAGACGGGCAGTGCAACGAAGTGCACAGGGAAGGGATGTGGCACTGGCGAGGGCAGGGGCAGGGACGGGCCTGGGAGGAGCAGCGAGCGAGGGAAGGTGTGTGGGCGAGCGCATGTGGGGAGTGCAGGGACGGCAGTGGACTCTAGCGTTGGTGTTGCTAAGAGGGAGGCAGCTGCTGGGGTGTCCAGTGGGAGAGGGGCGGTGGAGGGAGAGAATACAGGCGTGGCAGGGCGAGGAAAGGAAGGGGAGGAAGGGGCAGGCGAGGCAGGGGCGGTGACAGCAGGGCAGAAACCAGATGGGGGCGGTGATGGGGGGAAGCAGGGAGGTGCAGAGGCGGGGAAGCAGGGGGCAGCTGATGGGGAAAATCAGGGGGACGCAGAAGGGGGGAAGCTGGGGAGCGCAGAAAGGGGGAAACAGGGGGATGCAAGGGGGCTTAAGCAGGGGGGAGGCGTGCGGTGGTGGGTGGGGGCGCGTAAGGCAGCAGGAGTGGGGCCCAAGTCGCTGAATGAGTGGGCCAAGGGGCGCGGGGGAGGGGCGGATACGCAAGGGGGGAAGGGGGCAAGTGCAGGAAGGGGCGCAGGAGGGGCTGCTGCTGCTGGTGCTGGTGTTAATGTTGCTGCTGCTGCTGGTGATGGTGGTGTTGGTGGTGCTGCTGCTGGTGATGGTGGTGTTGGTGGTGCTACTGCTGGTGCTGGTGCTGGTGCTGCAGCTGCTACAATTTCTGCTGCTGCTTCTGCTGACGACGTTACTATTGCTGCTGCTGTTGCTGGTACTGCCGGAGCTGCCGCTGGAGGTATAGGTAATCAAAGCGGGGATACAGGCAAGGGATCTTGTGGGGTGAGAGCAGCTGGGCGGAGATTTATTGATGACGCTGCTATGGAAGATGGGGGAGAAGAGGAGGAGGAGAGAGAGGGGGGGGATGATGCGGAGGAGGGGGATAGGGTTAGAGCTTTGGGGGAGAACGGGCGAGATGCGAATTGGGACTGGATGGATATAGAGGATTTAGGAGAAGATAACAGTGGGAGTGACAGTGAGGGTAACGAAGATGCTTGTAACGAGGACGAAGGAGAGGGGGAGGTTGACAAGGGGGTGGGAGATGAGGAAGAGAGGGAAGGAGAGGAAGAGGAGGAAGAGGGGGAAGAGGGGGAAGAGGGGGAGGAGGGGGAAGAAGGGGAGGAGGAGGAGGAGGAGGAGGAGGAGGAGGAGGAGGAGGAGGAGGAGGAGGAGGAGGAGGAGGAGGAGGAGGAGGAGGAAGGGTCAGATGGTGCGTTGGAGAGAGCAGCGCTTCACAGGCAGTGGGAGGAGGAGGAGGATGAGCGCGTGCAGGGGGCGGTGATGGGCGGGGTGCAGGGGGGCTGGGCGCATGTGCGCATGGGCAGGCGGACCCAGGGTGGGGGGGAGAGGGGGATCAGGGGGGTGGGTCCGATGGGGGATGGGGAGGAGGAAGAAGAGGGAGAGGAGGAGGTGGAGGAGGAAACGGGGGAGGATGGAGGGTTGAGGAAAGGGGGAGTGAGGAAGAGGAAGAGTGGGGAGAGTGGGAAAGGGGAGGGAGGGAAAGCGAAGGGGGCAGGTGGTGGGGAGTGGGGGTTACTGGCAAAGAAAGTGAGGATGCTCAAAGAGAAGGCGGGGGGAGGAGGGGCGAAGGGGGGTGGAGAGGGGAAGGGAATGGAGCAGGATAGCAATGCGTGTGGCTTAACCGAGAGTACTCGTGTTGATGCTGATGCCGTTGGAACGAAGAGGGGGATTAGAGGCGAGGGAGAGGAGGGGGACGATGACACTGCGAGTGACGATGCTGAGAATGGCAGCGGCAGCGACATCGATGGTAGCAATGGTGTTGGCAGTGGTGATGGTGGTGATGAGGGCGATAAGAGCGATGAGGATGATGAGGGCGATGATGGCAAGATGGCATCGCAAGACCTGGCAGAGCAGATGCGAGCCAAGAGACGCGTAGAGGAGATGGTGAGTGGGGAGATGGTGAGTGTGTCGGTGATGAGTGGGAAAGATGGTGAGTGGGTGAAAGGTGGTGAGTGGGGCGGTGGTGAGTTGGGGGGAGGTTGGGTGAGGAGCGACAGTGATAGAAGAGCAACGGAGAGGAGGTGATCGTTTGACAGCAGCACTCCCAGTCTTCTCACACCCATCCTCTCCCTTGCTCACGTGTAATAAGTTTTTTTTCGAGATGTCTCACCATCTCCCCACTCTCACACCCATCCTCTTCCTTTCTCTCCTCTCTTCCCCCACCTTCCCCCCACCCTGGCAGCACCACAAGGAGGTGCGGGACACGGCCCTTGGCTCCCTCTCAATTCTGTGCTCTCCAAACCTTTCTCTCCGCCCCCCCTTCCATCAGCATCACCGGGAGGTGCGGGACACAGTGCTGGGGCAGTGGAAGCAGCAGCAAAAAGAATAAATGATTGATTTCCCCTCCCTCCCCTCGCTTCTCTCCCCGCTCCTTCCCCCTCCAAGCAGCATCACAGGGAGGTGCGGGACACAGTGCTGGGGCAGTGGAAGCAGCACTCCCACCGCAACATCACAGTCGTCAGAGGGGCCGCACCACCTGCCTTGCACTCACCTTTCACTTCATTACAGTCACGCGGCCCTCCCTTACAGTCACACGGTTCTCCTTTACAGACACATGCCCCCCGCTTGCAAGCACACCGACCGTCAGTTAACACCTCATACAACCATTTCAACCGCACTGCACCTGCACCAGCTCCAGCCTCCCCTTGGAGCGGAGCCGGCCATTCCATTCCTGTGAGTCCTCCCCTCTCTGCCTGTTACTTCAATGTCTCTTCCATTCCACCCCTCCTTATCATTTCGTTGCTCCACTTCTTTTTCTTCTCTCATCCTGCTACCTTCCATGCTTCCTTCCTTCCATTCCTCTCTTTCTTCCACTAGTCCCTCAGCAACGCACTTCAACATTCACCTTGCTCCGTGCTCAAACTCTCTTCTGCAGGCACCTTCCTTAGGCCTGCGAGCCTCCTCCCTTCTCGGGCAGCTTTCAAAGCTGCCCAAGGACTTCAATTTCACCACGGGCAGCTCTGGAAGGACTGGGCAGGCTGGCCCTTCTCGAGCATACATATTCAAGACCAAGGAAGCACCAGACGAGGAAGAGTTTTGAGGCATTTCAAATATATTTTCGGGTATGCTGTTCCTTCTTCAAGTCCATAGATGCACCCGAAGATATAATCCTGCAGCTTGTTAAAAGTGGGTCGCCTTGCACGTGCATTTGTTCTGTACATCCTGTTTTGTGAAGTAGAATCTTTCGGCGATCAGCAGGACAGAATCCCATGTGCTAGAACAAACACCATTGGTGAAAGAGCAATATTCATACCAATCGTACTGAAGGAACTGTAGGAATGCAAAGAGTATATACTTTGAACACGCGTCAAGTCAAGGCTGCATGTGTCTAACTAACCAGCCTTGCTAGCAGATGGTGATGGAAGGTTGTGAATCAAGAAAAACAGGAATGAAATGACTTAGTGAAAGTTGGGTACAAAAGGCAAACCCTAGGAAATTGTACCCCATATGTGCTACCCCACTATAGCCTACAGTAGCTATGTCAAATAACTCTGACACACCCCCATAGGCAAAGTGGGGGAGAACAAGGGGTCACAAGACCAGTCAAGCAAAGCAAAGCAAGCTCAGGGTGGATCACAAAGTCACCACACATTCCGAGCACAAGTTCAAGGCCACAAGGCCAGTTCACATGCAGGATTACATATATATATAAGGCTAAACAAGCAAGAGCATGAGTATATATATATGCAACAGTACAAACAAGGTCAAGAGGTGAGCAAGTGAGGCAAGGTAGGCACAAGACCCAGCTGAGTACAGAAGCGCTGATGATCACAAGGCGCAAGTGCCTTGGTGAAGATATCAGCAGTGTTGGCCTCAGAGGCCACGTACGCAAGTCGCAGCTGACCGCGTTGCTGTAGCTCACGAGCAAGGAAGTAGCGAAGAGCAATGTGCTTCGTTCTGTGCTCCAGTCTCTGCTCTCGACACAAGGCCAGCATAGCCTTGTTGTCTACGTAGAGCACTGGAGGAGAACGAGGCGGCTCTCCGAGGTCAGTCAGCAGGTAGGTGAGCCAGCGAAGCTCCTGTGCAGCCATGGCCCCAGCGTAGATCTCAGCCTCGCAACTGGAGCTGAGAACAGAAGACGAGCGAGTAGCCCGCCACGAAACAGAGCCGGAACCAAGGCTGAAGGTGTAACCCTGTGACGACCGCTGCGTAGCCTGGTCGTCAGCCCAAGAAGCGTCTGCGTGTCCAGTGAGGACCACTGGACTCTGCCCTCCAAGCACAAGCCCCATGCCCGATGTACTGCACAAGTAGCGCAACACCCTCTTCGCTGCAGCCATGTGCTCCGGTCTGTGTCTCCCAGGAGCAACATAGCGTGCAAGAATGCTAAGAGAGTATGCAAGGTCAGGTCGTGTGCAGGTCATCAGGTACATGAGGCAGCCAACAAGCTCTGGGTACGGGCCACTCGACTCTACGGACTCATCCGAAGGCAGAGCTGAGAGCGAGTGGCGAGTAGGCAGAGGAGTGGCCTGAGGCGAGGAGTACGTGAAGCCGAAGCGCTGAAGGACCTGCTGCACCATGTGTGACTGAGTCAGGGTAATGGTGCGGCGTGCTCTGTCCCGGGTGATCTGCAAGCCAAGGTAGCTGCGCAGTTCACCCAGGTCTGTGCACGTGTGTCTCTTCTGCAGCTCGGACTTCACGTGGGCGAGTCCAGCAGTGTCAGCTGTGGCAAAGACCAAGTCGTCGACGTACACGAGGATGTAGAACGGCTGCAAAGAAGTGTCGGTGCGCAGAAACAGCGACGGGTCGGCAGTAGAGGGAGCAAACCCAAGAGCCGCAAGTGTAGTCCTCAGTGTGTCGTGCCACTCACGCGGTGCCTGGCGGAGACCGTAGACTGGCCGCCGGAGGCTCCACTGGGTGCCAGGAGGAAAAGACCCAGTGAAGCCAGGTGGGCGACGCAGCCAGATCTCCTCGTGCAGGCTGCCCTGCAAGAAAGCAGTGCTGAAGTCAAGAGAGTGCAGCTCGTAGTCGCGGTGAGCAGCTATGTGCAGCAGTACCCGAAGAGTGGTCATCTTCGGGGTGGGAGAGAAAGTCTGAAAGTAGTCAACTCCCTGCCGCTGACTGAAGCCACGAGCCACGTAACGCGCCTTGAAGACAGGCGGAGAACCCGGCGGTCGCTTCACCCTGAAAATCCACATGCCACTGACGATGTTCGCCCCAGGCGGGGGAACCTCGTCAACGTAGGTGCCTGTGGACTTCCAGGAAGCCATCTCTGCGTCCATAGCTGCCTGCCACTGAGAGGAGTAGGGACCCTCTATCGCCTCCGCGTAAGAGCGCGGAGTCGGGATGTCAAGTGCATCCGGGTCTCCCTCAGGGGTAAGCAGTACGGACACGAGATGAGGTGAAGCAGCAGCCAAACACTGGAACTCCTCCTGCCTGTCCTCAAGGACGTCCGTGCCAAGGGCACACTCACCCCCGACGGACGGAGGACAGACAGACTCAGACTCAGCAACAAGACTAGCAGCGTAGTCTAGACGACAGCGAGCAGCAAAGTCGACGAGCTCAGTAACTAGGGCAGACGCAGCAGTGGACTCAAAGGAAGGGTCAGTGACAACAGTAGCAAGGAGACGCGTGACAGTAGGACTGGCAGCACGAAGAGAGTCCGACTCCGGGTCAGGAAGAGCAGGAAGAGAGGACTCAGGAGGAGAAGGCAAAGGGGCACGCAGAGGAGCAGTGGACGGACGCAGAGACATCCGGTGCGTGCCAGGGACAGGAGGAGGACGCTGACGCGAACCACGACCACTAGTGCGAGCAGCACGGACAGGCGACGCAGGGCGAGACGCAGGCTCACGACGCTCAGCAAGACCTCCAGTAGGACCAGTGTAGGGAGAAGGAGCGGGCAGTGGGGAGGCCGGCTGTAACTGTAACTGTGACGGGACAGGCTGTGGACACTCTAAGGGAGGACCAGTAGAAGGCGGGAGACCAAGAACCTGCTGAAGGAGCGGAACGAAGTACGGCCTAGGCCGCGCGGCGACTCCAGACACAGCAGGGACAGCACCAGTACCCCCAGCGGCAGCACCAGCGCCAGCAGCACCTCCAGCTCCAGTACCTCCAGCAGCACCAGTAGCACCCCCAGCAGGACCGCCTCCAGGACCGACAGCAGTAGCCTCAGCGCCAACACCCTCAGCAGCTCCAGCTCCAGTCGTACCCGCAGGCCCAGCAGCTCCAGTACTCCCAGTACGAGCACCTCCGGGACCCGCGGCACCAGCACCCTCAGCAGCCGAAGAACCTCCAGCTCCAGCAGCACGCCTCCAGCGCCGGGCAAACCACTCGCGCAGCTCCTGTGGAGAGAGTGCCTCCCGTCGAGACGAAGCACCTGGAGAACCTCCAGGCTCAGCACCGCCAGACGCCACACGAGCAGGCCCAGCTCCCTCAGGCTCCGCACCCCCAGGCTCAGCACCTCCAGGCGTAGCACCCCCTGGCGTAGCACTCCCAGGCTCAGCACCCCCAGGCTCAGCACCCCCAGTAGTAGCACCCCCAGGCTCAGCACCCTCAGGCTCAGCACCCCCAGTAGTAGCACCCTCAGGCTCAGCACCCCCAGGCGTAGCACCCACACGCTCAGCACCCCCAGAGTCAGCACCCCCAGGCCCAGCACCCTCAGCAGCACCAGAGTCACCAGTAACATCGACAGGCTCGACTGCGTCTACCTGGGACACACCTGAAGGGGCAGGACCCTGAGGGGGGAGGGGGTCTACCGGGGGGGGACCTGGGACAAGGAAGAGCGGTGGCGGGGGGAGGGACGGAGTGCGGTAGGGGAAGAGGCGGTAGTAGGGGACCGACTCGTCAAACGTGACGTCCTGGGAGGACAGAACACGGCGAGAGGTGGGGTGGTAGAACTGCCACCCTGGCGCGTCAGGGGGGAAGCCAAGGAAGACGCAAGGAGCAGCACGAGGGGACAGCTTGTCCGCAGACAAGTCGCGGACAAACGCCCGAGATCCCCAGACACGGAACGCAGACGCATCGCCAACCTTCCCCGTCCACAGCAAAGCTGGGGAGGTCTCCGGCATGGAGACCATGGGGTGAAGGTTGATCTGATGCGCCGCGTACCGAACCGCAAACGGTCACAGAAAATGGGGGGCAGCCGCATGCATCATGGACGTACGGGCGACATCCATGATCATGCCAATGCGGCGCTCAGCAATCCCATTTTGCTGTGGAGAGTCCGGAAGCGTGAAGGTCTGGCGGATGCCTCGTGCACGACAGTAGGCTCGCAGAAGGCCAGAGGAGAACTCTCCACCTCTGTCAGAGTGCAGACGCTGAACAGGAAAGTCCGAGCCGAAGCTCTGCCTGAGCTGGAGACGAGCTGCGCGGATCCAGTCGATCAACACCTCA